TTCTACGCAAACATTTAATTATTTTCATAAAAAATAATGAAAATTCCCCAGGAATTCAATTATTTACAAATTATTTTCATAAATTATTCAATTATTTTCATAAATAATAAAACTCAATGCTGAATTTCAATGATTTTTAATACATTTTTAATTAAATTTCTTTAAAGAATAAAATTATTTTCAAAAATTTTAATGAAATTCTTTGCGTAACAATTCAATTGTTTTCATAATAATTTTAATAAAATTCTTCGCAGAAATCCAATTCTGTTTCAAAATTTACAAAAATTCTTGTCAAAATTTCAATTATCTTTATAAATAATAAAATTTTTCTCCGAAATTCAATTATTTTCATAATTAATAAAATTTTTAGCAGAATTTCAATTATTTTTAATATAATTTTCATCAAATTTCTCGAAAAAAGCAATAAAAATTTTATTAAAATTTGTCAAGAGAATTAAATTTATTTAAAAATTTGTTGATAACATTCTTTATGAAAATTTAATTTTAAGAAACATTCAATTGTTTAATAAAATATTTATTTTTATAGTTAAATAATTAAATTCTCGCAGAATTTCAATTATTTCTAATACAATTTTCATCAAATTTCACGAAAAATGCAATTAGTCTTCAAAAATTTTATTAAAATTTGTTGATAAAATTCTTTATAAAAATTCAAGTGTTTAATAAAGTATTTATTTTTGTAGTTAAATAATTAAATTCTCGTAGAATTTTCATCGTAGAATTTCAATGATTTTTAATACAATGTTTATCAAATTTCACGAAAAATGCAATTATTCTTAAAAATTTTATTAAAATTTGTCAAAAGAATTCAATTAGTATTTAAAAATTTGTTAATAAAATTCTTTATGAAAATTTGATTTTAAGAAACATTCAATTGTTTAATAAAATATTAAATTTTTATAGCTAAATAATTGAATTCTCGTAGAATTTTCTAATATATAAATATTGATTTAAAAATTAATTTCAAATTAAAATCTTTGAAAATTTGAACTTTTTCATTCTTTTAATTAAGAATTCTATAGAATTCATTTTTCTCAATAAGTTTAATGGAATTTTTTTAAATTATTTGAATTTTTTAATTTCTAAATTATATTTAATTGAAAAATGTCAGAATAATCGAAATTTCGTAAAATTAAATTGTAAACAAAAGAATTTAAAAATTTACAAAGAACTTTTTCAAAAATTATTTTAAAAAATTGACTTAAAAAAGAATTTTAGTTGAAAATTCTAGAAATGAATAATCGTAATGATGAAAATAATTTTTGAAGAAGTTATTATAAAACATGAAGATATATTGATTGTTCCGAGTCGAAGACTCGGAGTGATCGATATCTTCATGTTTTATAATAAATATTCTATGTTATTGAATTTCAATTTTTTGAATATCTTTATTTCTATAAAAAAAAGATTAAATATTTATTTAAAAAATGAATTTATTGATGTTTTAGAAACCTGAAAAAATTCCGTTCTTTAACCAGGAAAACCTGGAAAAGTCAGGGAATTTGAAAAGAGCAAAAGCGTGGCGACCCTGACTTTAATTTTCTCTAGTAGATAGTATTTTTTTTCTTTTATTTTTCTTCTATTTTTCCTTTCATTTTTTTTACCTTCAGTTTTATTTGCCTACAAGTTTCTATTTCAATTATTGCGACAAAATTCAAACGATCTGAATAAAAATCGGTGCTTATGAATATTCTAAAATGATTTCAATCTTATCGGGGGGTAAAAAATGCAGCGTTGTTATTTGAAAAAATTCGAAACCAGTTTAATGTTGATCTTTTTCGAGATTTAAAGGGGAAATGAAACTTCTGTTTAATGCAGGGAAAATTGCACAGGCTTTGAGAACAAGGAATGTGGTTGGGTAATACAATAAATTTACCTACCACCAGAGGCATTGAACCTGCTCTAAAGACGTATAATCAAGAGAACCCTCTCTATATATACTATTTTCTGATAAATATATACTCGTGTCTAATATATTTGTTAGTAAAAATTGGATATTTTTTTACAGAGATCGAATCTCTAGGCAAAAAAAGCAAAAAAAAAAAAAAAAAACAGGAGAGAAATATCTATAATAATAATCTTGTGTGTGTATGATATAATCATGTGTCATGACTTAGATGAGATGGGGAACCAAAAGAGGTAATTTTTCACTCTCCTTGTTGAGGGACCGATCGTCGCAACTATCTCCGCATATTTACACTATATACCTCCCCCTTTTATTCCGGTTATGCCGGTCTTCATTTTTCATTAAACGTCATCGACTTTGATGAATCGTTATTTTTAATTTTCATATTCATAAATTCCAAGGCTCATATCATCTTCTTTCGTTGGGAAAAAAATAATCGCGGATATCAATTTATGATCTCGAAAAAGGAGTATATTTAGATTTATTGAGTTGTCTTTAATGCAAAGATCACTGTATCAACAGAAGAACATTTGTTACGTCTTGAATCTCTTTCTCTGACTCCTATATTGGCATTGAATTATGCATTATTTTACTTGCATTTCATTGCTTCATTGTGAAATGAATTTTCTTTCGTTGAGAAATTCTAGGAAAATTTTTTTTCAATTTTTTTCAAAATTTTTTTTTTATTATTGTAATAATTAATAATTCCTATTGTAATAATTAATAATTCCCATTGAAATAATTAATAATTACTATTGTAATAATTAATCATTACTACTGCAATAAATGATAATTACTATTGTAATAATAATTAATAATTACTACTGTAATAAATAATAATTACTATTGTAACAATTAATTACTATATTGCAATAATCTTAATCTTAATCTTAATTTTAATTAATTAAATTAATAATCGTACTCCGAATCTCTGTTTGTGAGTTTGAATTAAATTATTTCTGTTTGCTTTATTATTTCCTAATCTTTTTATACCTAAATTTTTTTGATAAATTTTTTTTATCGGTTTGAAATTTAAAATTAATGAATTTATAATTTTTGTAATTTTTATAATTTTGAACCTGAAATAATTTAATTCTTGCATAGAATTTTGTTTTACATTTTGTGGAAATAATTGAAATCATGGAAAAAATTTAATTGAAAATATTGAAAATAATTAAATTATTCTCTTCAGGAATTTAATTGAAATTGTACTAAAATTAATTGAATTCTTCTAAAGAATTTTATCAAGATTTTCGAAAATAATTGAATTCCATCTTGAAATTTTTATTTAAACAATTCAATTATTTTGAAAAATTCTAATACAATTCTTTGAAAGAATTCAATTATTTTTGTACATAAATTAATAAAATACTTAGCAAAAAATTCAATTATTTTCATAAATAATAAAATTCTTTATAAGAATTCCATTTTTTTCATTAATAATAAAATTTTGTACAAAAATACAATTATCTTCATAAATAAGATACAATTCTTTACAGGAATTTAATTATTTTGAATTGAATTTAAATGAAATTCCTCGAAAGAATTGAATTATTTTTACAAATTTTGATAAAATTCTTTAAAAGAATTCAATTATTTTCAAAAAATTTTTATGAAATTTCTTTATAATTCCTCGAAAGAATTATGTTATTTATGAAAATAATTGAATTGTTCCAAGAATATATTATTATTAAATTTTTTAAAAATAATTTAATTATTTCGAAGAAAATTAAAATTTTACATAATAAGTGAGTTTTTTGACCAATTTAATTAAAATTTTTAATATTTTAAATAATAAAATATTGTAATACTTTTATAAAGTTCTATCGAATTTTTTTCAAATAAATAATTTTTTCGTGCAATTCTATTAAAATTGTATTAAAAATAATTGAATTCAAACAATGAATTTTATTATTTATGGAAATAATTGAATTCTTCATGAAAATTTAATTAGCTTTCGAAAAATAATTAAATTCTTTTCAATATAATTTAATTTTTATGAAAATAATGAGATTCTTCGTATGAATTTCATTAGAATTTTTGAAAATAATTGAAATTCTTTAGAATTTTATTCAAGATCTTGGAAATAATTGAATTCTTTTGAAGAATTTGATTAAAATTCTATTAAAAATAATTGAATTCTTTTAAGGAATTTTATCAAAAAATTTTTTAAAAATTGTATTTTTTCTGATAATTTTACTGCAATTTTTTAAACTACATAATTCAATTCTTGAGAAAAATTTTAATAAAATTGTATTGAAAATAATTGAGTACCTCAAAAAAATTTTATTATTTATGACAATAATTGAATTCCTGAGAAAATTTTTATTAATTATAAAAAGAATTGAATTTTTGCCAAGATTTTCATTACAATTTTTAAAAGACAAATTCTTTTGAAAAATTTTATTAGAATTTTTTAATATACCTAATTGAATTTTTTAAAAGAATTTTATTACATATTTTTAAAATAATTTAATTTTAGCAAAGAATTTTATTGAAATTTTTGAAAACAATTTAATTCTTTCATGGAATTTAAGAAGGATTCTATTGAAAGTAATTGAACTTTTATAAACATATTTTATCAAAATTTTTTATAATAATTGAATTCTTTCAAAGAATTTTATTAATATTTTTGAAAATAATTGAATTTTTGCCAAGAATTGAATTTAAAACCTTTAGATATAATTGAATTCTTTCGAGAAATGTTGGTAAATTTTTATCAGAATTTGTTTTAAGTAATTGAATTCTTTCGAGTAATTTTATTAAAATTGTATTGGTAATAATTGAATTCCTGCAATGAATAATATTATTTTTGAAAATAATTGAATTCTTTCAATGTATTTAATTAAATTTTTTGAAAATTATTGAATTGCTTCAAAGAATTTAATTAAATTATTTGAAAATAAATAATTGAACTGTATCGCCTTTCGCGCGTAATAATAGTTAATTAATTAAATCTAGTTAATTAATAATTATTATTGTAATGATTTGAAAAAAACTAGAATTAATAAGTTACTAATTATCATTTTTTAAAATTTCGTTTATTAATTAAAAATTGTTCTCTTATTTTCAGTTGGAGTGTTCGCGTTGGTGTTTTACCTATTTGGCAAACCGTATAAGAGGGGATTTTTCTGCAATGATGAATCATTGAACCACCCATTCCAAGATTCTACAGTCACGAGTCCAATGTTGTATGTTATTGGCGTTTTACTTCCCGTTTCCACGGTGAGTCACTTAACTCTCCTTCCTTTTAAATTACGTTGATTGCCGCGTTCACCTACACCGATATATGATTCATTTTATTACTATATAGTTTGAAATTGACATTTAAAATTATCAATCGCTTGATAAATTTCAATTTATCACTGTGTCACTGGGAGAGTAAATATTAGAAAACTGTGAATTCATCGAGTAAATAAAATATAAGGAATTGATGTACCTGTGTACATTTTATATTAACATTTTTTTTTTGTTTTTTTCTTTTCCTTTTTTTCTCACCAAATTTATTGACTATTTCACATTCAACAGAAATGGGAATAAATTAATTATTTTTTAGATTTAATTTTAATTTTAAATTATACGATTAAATTTTTGGGAATTGGAAATCAATTTGATTTTTGTGAGAATTTTAGAAAACCCACGTGTGTTCTGATTAAATTCTGTGACTATGACTTTATTTCTATTTTTAACTTTGTCCTTAACTTTTACTTTATTTTTAATGTCACTATTTTTTTTCGATTTTTGAAAAATAAATGTTTCCAAACATCGGAAATAATAATTATTTATTATAAATATAAAAATAATTATTTACTAATATTTGTAGAAAGAAAAATATTGGCTGAATTTTTATATTGTTTTAATAAAAATAAAAAATAGCGAATATTAATTCATTTAAAAAAATATATTTTATCTATTTTAAAAAATATGTTCGTTTTAAAAAAAATATTATAAAACAATTTTTTTTAAATATCAATTTTTATTCTGGATAGAAAGAAAATTAGTTATGAATTTTTTTATTATATAAATTAATATATTGTTCTGTTATTTGTGTGACAAAAAGACATTGAAATAATGAATAATAGCTTTCAAATTAATTGTCTAGCCTTCAAGTATACACGAATTGTTTGGTTTAGACAAAAAAATTAATTCACTTTGAAGGTTTTTTTTCTGTGACAAAAACAATATTGATATTTTTCAACAATAAAAATTCGATAAGAATAACGTAACTGTATATTTAAGTAGAAAAAACTTAAATCAATATTGTGAAAAAATGAAAAGCAATTTATTAAAAAGAAAAAAACGTGCTTCTACATATACGGGAATTATGATAACGTGTATTCTTTTGCAAATATTTCAATATACATACATTCCTTGTATTTTATAATCAAAAACCGTAAATTTAAGGAGAAAATTTAGTAAATTTTAATTTTTTTAATTAATTTTATTTTTCAATTTAGTTATTTATTAAATTGTCATTTTTATTCAATTAAATTTATTTCGGTATGGAAAAAATGATTTTTTTTAATTATCCGAATGATACTGTATTTACTTATTTTTTTACCTATTTATTTTTAATTACAAAAAAGTTAAACTTTGTAAACGATAATAACCGCAGTTTATAATAACTGTCGATTTTATTTTTTGATTGATTTTATTTTCTATTTTCGATTTTGTCTTCTTCAAGCAAATGCTTATTTGAAGATATTAATGTTTTACTGCACGTTTTTTTTTTTTTTTTTTTTTAAGTACTTAATTTCTTTTCAAATTTGATTATAGTGTCGTTTTTCGTTCTAATCAGCACGTGGTCCATAAGGGTTCTTGAACTTCTTTACTCTCTCCAGTTGCACACACTTGTCTTTTTTTATAATTCTCACAATTTTTTTTTCCTCATTTAAATTGAATTGATGAATAATAAAATTTGAAAATATTTATTTTAGTGTTATTAGGATTTGAAAAATTAAAATATAAATTAAAATTTAAAAAATTTTTTTAATTGTCTCAGAAATCCTTAATATAAGTTGACAACATTCTTTTTTATACTTCGATTTTATTGTTTTTTAAACGTATAATATTTTTCTGAATTTCTTCAGGTGTTGAAAATTGATTCGATTTCGCCTTATCGGAGAACTTTTCATAAGTATTTCTTCACTTTAAGTTCGACGATTTTTTGATTCGATAGCTGGTGGGTCTCGTGATTTGCTGATATGAGAAATTTTTTTTTCTTGTTTGTAATATTACGTTAGTTTCTTATTGTTCGATATTTTGCTTTTTTATGAATTTAATTTCCTTTCTTTACTTTTAGTTTATTCCAAATTTATTGGGAATTACAATGTAAAATTTAATTTATTGGGACTAATTTCCTTTTGTTATTTTTCTCTTTTCTGGTTTTTTTCAAATTTATTGAGAAATTTAATATAAAATTTGGATTATTAAAAATAATTTCCTTTTGTTATATTTATTTATTTATTTTTTTGGTTTTTTCTCAAATTTATTGAGAAATTTAATGTAAAATTTAAATAATTAGAATTAATTTTCTTTTGTTATTTTTACCTTTTTCAAAAAATTTACTGGGAAATTTAATGTAAAAGTTAATTTATTGTGGAATTATTTTTCTTTTGTTATTTTTAGCTTTTTTTGGGGTTTTTTCAAATTTATTGGGAAATTTAATGTAAAAGTTAACTTATTGGCATTATTTATTTTTTTTGTTATTTTTAGCTTTTTTGGGTTATTTCAAATTTATTGGGAAATTTAAAGTAAAATTTATTTAATTGGAATTAATTTCCTTTTACAATTATTTTTATCTTTTTTTGTTTTTATCAATGGGAAATTTAATGTAAAATTCAATTTATTGTAAATATTTTTCTTTTGTTAATTTTAGCTTTTTTGGGTTTTTTTTTAAATTTATTGGAAAATTTTAAGTAAAATTTAATTTTGTTATTTTTACCTTTTTTTGGTTTTTTCAAACTTATTGGAAAATTTTGAGTAAAGTTTAATTTTGTTATTTTTACAAATTTATAGCAAAATTCAATTAATTGGAATTAAGTTCCTTTCGTTATGTTTAGTATTTTTGGCTCTTTTTTATTGGGAAATTTAATATAAAAGTTAGATTATTAAAATGAATTGCCTTTTGTTATTTTTATTTTTTCTCAAATTTATTGGGAGATTTAATCTGAAATTTAATGAATTGAAATTCATTTTCTTTTTATAGTTTTCCATTTTTTCCGTTTTTTACAAATTTATTGGGAAATTATTTGTAAAATTAAATTGTTTTTTAATTTGAATTAATTTTCTTCTGTTATTTTTAGCGTTTTTTGGATTTCTTTTAAATTTATTGGGAAATTTAAAGAACAATTTAATTGATTTTTGTTAATAATAACTACAAAAGAAAAACGAAAAATAAGAAAAGGAAATTAATTCTAATAAATTAAATTTTACACTAAATTCCCAATTAATTCGAAAATAGCCAAAGAAAAGACTTAAATTAATTTAATTTATTTCGTTGTTATTTTTTTCGTTTTGGTACCATTACAAATTTATTGTAAAATTTAATTTATTGTCATTTTGTTTTCTTTGTTATTTTTCGTTTTTCCATTTTTTCGTTTTTTTCAAATTTATTGGAAAATTCAATGTAAAATTCAATTTATTGGACTTTATTCCCCTTTGTTTGGGTTCAATTCAATTGTGAGGGTACAAATGCGAGTGGCAAAAATTTTTGTTTCCTTTATTACAAATTTTTTCTTTTATTACTACAATAACAAGGTGAAAATGTATATAATTTCAGATAACTGCGCAAAAAAAAGAAAATATTTTCAATGATGTGCACGATGTGAGATACTGATGCTGGATATATCTGAAGGGAACTCGTGATCATTGATATAACCCAAGGGGGAGACTGCGAACCCTACCTGCCCCTCTTTTATAGTTTGTTACAACGCTGCTTTCGTTCTTCTCTCACTCTTCTCTTTCTCTTCTTTCTCTTTGCAAGTTAACTGTGCACGTGCAACTGGTATTTTTGCGCTTCTTTCTCAGTTTCTCTTTCGAGACAAAAAAGTTGGTTTCAAATCTTTTATTTTCATCCTTTCTTTGGCTCCTTTTCTTCTCTTCAACTCTTTCTACTTATTGCTAGCCCCGTGTTAGATGATGCTCCCTCGTGAAATTCGAGTTATCGCTGTCACCGCAGGGCTTCATAAGAGCGAATCTAATTTGCAGACAGAGCATAAGAATCACTATTTATATATATTTACAACATAGACGAAACAAAAAAGGAAGAATCTGATTTCAATTATCTTGCCGCATAAGGAAAAATATTTTTCTTCAGAATTATTCTTTGTGAATTATTTACCCTTGAAATCGGCTTTGGAAATTCTTTTATTGAAAATCTCATATTGAATTTGGTACTTTTAGAGGAAAATTCTATGCCAAACCAGAAACCATTGAATCGGATAAAAATTTCTTTAATATTCTTGATTTGAATATTCAAAATTTCTACCTGGAAATGTGAAAAGACAATATGTTTACCAGGAAATGTATTATAGTTTTCAATTTTTTACTACCTTGAGGATTTTTTTTAAAGCCGATCATTAAAAAAAATGTGTTTTTCTTTACAAAAGGAAACGGTTTTTCTTTTTGTTGAAATTTGTTTTTTGGAAATTTATCTTTTTTTGATGGATTTTCGGAGTATTGTATCTTTATGAGCTAAGACGCAGCTATAAACGGAGGGAAAGTTTCGGAGGAATTTGTTTTCTAATCTAGAAACGAGTTTGAACCCTTGTAAAATACAAGAGTAAAATTCAGTCAATTTTCTTTATTATCAGATCGTATTTTTTTCAAATTTTAATTAGCGGGCCTCGGATTCTATAACATTTTCGAATTTTTTCAATTGTTTTCCAAAAAGACGATTTTTTCGCCTTTTTTCAAATAAATTGCAACAAATTATTGCTTTTCTGGTATAAACTGACATTCATTTGGATTTTTATAGTGGAAGAAGAAAACTATTGTCAAATGTTCAAAAACATTTTTTTTTGATAATTTTTCTTGAGATAATTAAAATTTCTGAAACCTAATTAAAAATTGTTTAATTAATTAAATTTTGTAAAATTTTATTGAAAATAATTAACTTCTCTTCTAGTATTTTATTAAAATTTTTGAAAATCAAATTTTAAAGAAATTTAGTTGCAAATTTTATAAATAATTCTATTCTCAAACTTTTTAATGAAAAATGTTCAAATGAAAATTTAAAAATAAAATTCAATTAAAAAATTTAAAAATTATATTGAAATATTTTTTACTACGGATTTTTTCAAATTTTTTTTGATACAATTTGTTGAAATTCTATTATTTGAATTCTCGTACAACTTTTGCAAAAATTATTGAAAATAATTGATTTAGAAAAGAATTTTAGTTGAAAATTCCAAAAATAATTGGATTTTATAAGACCTTTTTTAATTTTTTGCTGAAAATAATTGAATTTTAAATGGTTTCAAATTGAAATATTAGAAAATTGGAGTTTTAATTGATTTCCATTAAAAAATTGCAAGAAGTTAGTTTTTTTGAAAAACATTTTTTCAAATTATCAGCTGAATTAGGAAAAATAATTAATTTTCCTCTTTTAAATTAGGAATTAGAAAAACATTGGATAAAAGTAGTTAAATACAAAAAAGTAAAGCCAGTGAAGTTTATTAACAATTAAAAAAAATTTCTCTTTTGAAGAATACATTTTTTTTAATAATAATAAACTTTTCTTTGCTTCAAAATTTTCTTTTTGGAAATGGTGGAGAGACTTTTGAAAAATGGTTTTGAATAAAACTTTATAAAAATTTGCATATAAAATTTTTTCATAATCGTTGATCATAAACGTTGTAAACTTTATTAAAATGCAAAATAATTTCTTTTTAATTTTTACACAACTACTATTTTTCCCCTCACTGATAAAATCAAATCTCTGATGTCAAATTACAAAAGAATTCTCATATTGTCGAAAAATATCTAGATTTTTAAATACTTCCTCTTTTTTTTCTATTCCAAAATCAAAAAATGCTCCAAAATACGATCTCATATTCCCCATTAGGATTTCTCCCTCTATTTTCTGTCAGTGAAGGAAAAAAAAAGATAAATGTGTCAAGTTGGAAAAGGTGCTCTCCTTTTCTCGGTTCAGTTACCTTTCAAAAAAAAAAAGAGATAAAAAATTTCCTGAAATCCTCTCTGACCATATATGTAGTATTGAAGGAGCTGACAAAAAAAAATGAAGATCTCCCGATATTTCCTTTTTGAAGGATCCAGGTAAATATACCTGTAATATAGTAGAGTGTGTTAGAGTTGAAATACGATGTGAGGAATGACTGCGAGAATGAAAAATGGGGAAGTGGTGTGTTGTGTATAGTGATGCCGCAATGGTAGTTCTCTCTCCGAGCGCAAGAAGAAGCTAAAAAAGAATAAAAGGATCTACCACCTGTTTAAACATCATATATACACTATATACATACATATGAGAGTTATATCCACAGCTGAAAGCTCGTGTGATGTCAACATACTTTGGAATAATGTTTTAAAATGATAGTTGAATACTTGTTATGTTAAACTGCGAGCAAATCCGATATGGCTATAATCAAAACGGCGCTTTTTTGTGACCATGGAGGAAGTAACGTGAAATTCAAGATTCAAGATAAAAGCGCTCATTTTCTATGATGAATGTTCGTGATAATAGAATTGATGTCAAAAACTTGTATGAATAATGCGAAAATATTTTATGTACATGACCCAGAACAGACCAGAATTATTATATTCGTTAGAAATTAATAGAAAAAATTTTTTTCTATTCTCGTAAAAAAATGAGGATTTTTTATTGTAGATATTCGATTAAAATATTTAAATGAGGAATTTATCATTTGTGGAATTAAAAAAAAAAAATTATGAGAAAAAAGAAGATATTTGATTGATCTTGAATTTATGAAATTGATTTTTGATTTATGTTCCAGATGATGGTGGCTGAATATCTTCATGCTAGAAATACTGGTCAGCAATCGAAGGTATTGCTGGGATTTAATATTCCTGCTTGGGTGTGGACATCCTACTGTAAGGTGAGAGGATGTTTTTTTTTATTCTATTCCAGAGGAATTTTTTTTCTCTTCTCAATATTAATTTTTTTTCTCTTTTATTTGTATTTTACTTTTCTTGTAATTATTTTCTCTGTAACGATAGATTTATTTTATTTACATGAAGGTTGAACAGATTGCACAACGCTGGAGAAATAGTTAATTAACATTTAAAATTCAAATAATTAAAATTATTAATAACTTTTAATAATAATAATAGTAATTTCCAGAAAAACAAAAATATTAAATTCAATCAAATTTCAAGAACAAAAAATTAACAATCAAAAATTTATTCATTTGTACAATTTACATTTGTGGTCGAAATTTTTTGCCATATCGCTTCTAAAGAATTTTTCATAAAAATGATTCGATTTTAATTTAATATTGATTATTTTATTTGAAAAATAATTCTCTACAACGGCCCCGTTAAGATTTTTAAAGAAATTAAATTGAATCATTTTTAAAAAATTCTATAGATGCGATATATGACAAAAAATTTGGATCATATATATATGCAAACTGCATAAGCAAATAAATTTTATTATTGTAGTATAAAATTTTTTTTATTGAAAATTAATATTTGTTCCTCCAGAAAATTATTCTAAGAATAAAATTTTAATTTTTAAATGTTAATTGATAAATGATCCATAAGTTTTATTAAAAGTACTGGAAAAATATTAAATTTTTAGAAGTCAAAAGAAAATTCTGGATTTTGATCTCTTGGCAAAACCTTTAAAACTATTAACGAGATTCTTGATTTTTTTCTTGTTTCTCTTATAAACTTTGAAATCACCTCGAATTATAATAAAAAAAACATTAAATTTCTTCTATTTCTCACAATAATTAAATTTTACAGAATATAAATTTTAATTTATTGAAAAAATAATTTAATTCTTGGGAAACTACAAAAAAATGATTATAAATTATTTTTAGAATAATTTTACTTAAAAATTCCAAAAATAATTGAATTTCGTAAGAGTTGCGTTTATAATTTTTATAAGTATTTGAATTTCAAAAGGTTTCAACTTGAAATTTTAGAAAATTAAAATTTTAATTGAGAATTCTGAAGAACTTAGTTTTTTTTAGGAAATACTGTTATTCAAATTTTTGTTTGCAAGCCTGTTGAATTTTTGAATATATATTTAATTAGCAAATTTTCAAATAATTTAAATTTTGTAAAATTGAATTAAAAACAAATAGATTTTAAAATTATTTTAAGTTCGATTTTTCTCATTTTGTATGAATAATTAAATTCTTGAAGAACTTTTACAAAAATTATTAATAATAATTGAAGGATTTTTGTTCAAAATTCCAAAAATAATTTAATTTTATAAGAGTTCCGTTTACAATTTTTTATAAATAATTGATTTTCAAAAATTTTCAATTTGGAATTTTAAATTCTGAAAAATTAAGTTTTTTGCAAAATTTTTATTCAAGACTTTTTTTTAAATCAGTTTAATTTTTGAATATATATATTTAATGGAAAAAGTTTCGAATAATTAAAGTTTTGTAAAATTGAATTATAAACAAATTTAAAATTATTTTGTTTCGATTTTCTTTTTTTTTTTGTTTGAATAATTGAATTCTCAAGGAACATTTTCAAAAATTATTGAAAATAATTAATTTAGAGAAGAATTTTAGTTAAAAATTCCGAAAATAATTAAATTTTAAATGGTTTCAAATTGAATTGCAATTGAAAATTTTCAAGAAGTTAGATTTGTGAAAAATTGTTATTCAAATGTGAAATTGTTTGAAATTTTGTAAAATTCAATTGTAAAAAATGTTTTTTAGAATTATTTTAAGTGAATTTTCTTTTTTTCGTTCGAATAATTGAATTGTCAAAGAACATTTTCAAAAATTATTAATTTAGCTAAGAATTTTACTTAAAAATTCTAAAAATAATTGAATTTCATAACAGTTTGTTTTAAAACATTTAAAAATAATTGAATTTCAAACGGTTTCAAAATAAAATTTTGGAAATTAGAATTCTAATTATAATTTTAATTAAAAATTCTCAAGAAATTAGTTGCTTAAAAAATTTTTAATTCAATATTTGTTGAAATTGTTCGAAATTTCATAAAATTAAATATTGTAAACAGGATTTCAGAATTATTTTAACTGAACTTTCTTTTTTTTTTAATTAAATAATTGAACTCTCAAAGGACTTTTTCAAAAAATTATTAAAAATAATTGTTTTTGAGAAGAATTTTTAGTTAAAAATTCTAGAAAATAATTAAATTGAAAGCTTGAAAATAATTTTGGAGAAGTTCCAATAGTGTGAATCTGGAATATCCTTTTTGGGTCAAGGAAAAAGTCGAAATTCATTTCTGGAAATGAGGAAAAAACAAAATCATATTTTTCTGGCAACTCTAAATATTATTGCAAAAAAAAAATTTTTATTTCAAGAAGAAAAAAATTAACGTTAGAAACTTTAGAAATAAAATTATTTATTTATTTAAGACTAAATATTGGAAATATTTTTCTAGATTGGACTATTTGGTTTTGGAGCATTCGCAACGATTTTAACGACAGATGTGGGAAAATATACGATTGGACGTTTAAGACCGCATTTCATGAAAGTTTGCGTACCCAGCGTCAATTGTTCTCTTCCTGAAAATCATCATCAATATATTGAGGATTTCGTTTGTACTGCGAAAAATTTATCTCCAAAAATGAGCAAAGAATTACGGTATGTTAAACACATTTATTTCAATTGCTGTAAATATTTCTGCCCATTTTTCTTTTACTTTTGGCTTTTGGCAAAAAATGGATTAGAAGAAATTTATTCTTTGGCGAAAGAAGGTTTTAAATAGTACAGAACAATGAGATTGTATAGCCAATTGCAAATTACGCTTTCTCCAAGAGTTAAGTCGTTGACAGTTTCTGTTGCAATAATCAGAATAGCTTTCATTGTTATTATTTCTCAGCTTTCCTATTTTTTTCTCTTTTAAAAAAACGAAAAAAGTTGATTGTCTTGTCACAATGGCAGATATTTATATCTTATTGTGGGTTGACTTCCATTTCGAAATATAGGCCTTTCACAATTGTAACCCAATTAAATTGACAAGACGATTCTCTTCTCGATCACTATTATTTATACCCAAATCTCTTAATTCCGATTCTTCTCGAAATTTTTTTTCGTCTCGACTCTTTTTTCGTTAATTCCGTTTCTTACGAGACGGAATAATTTATTTCTTTTCCAGAAAAAAATTATGTTTCCTCTTGAATTTTTCCTACCATAAAAAATTTCCACTGAAATTTTTAATTTCTTCTTTATTTTTAATTCACAAAAAAACCAAGGTTTTAATTTGTTTAATAATTGATTTTATTGGTTTAATAATTGTTTTAATTAATTTAATAATTGTTTTTATTGCTTTAATGATTGTTTTAATTGTTCAATATTTTGCTAGTCCTCATTTTCCATTCGTTAGGAACAATGCTCACTAGAAAGGCTAGAGTTGATTGTAAGTCTACTAGACATGACTTAGTTTACAGGAATTTATTTTCAAAAAAAAAGATTCTGCGGTTATGAGTTTTTAAGTGGTCTCAAGCGGTACTTTGCCGCATTGTTCTTGAAAAAAAAATCTTGTTCTTCTGACAGACAAATTGAATATAGGAAATTTATTTATTTCTTCTTTTTTTTTGCTTTATGGTAAATTTACGTCATTTTGTTTATGTATTTCTTTTTCCGTTATGTAAGAGATTGTAAAATTACTTATACCGATAAGAGCTTTGTCAGATAACTTGATTATTATGCTGGTGTGAATATAAAACGCTGGAAAATGAACAGCAAAAACAGGTTCGCACATTTCTACTATAATATGAACAATAAAATATCAAACAATAGGGTTCAAACAAAATTCCCGTTCTATAAACAGCGGATGTTCCATTGTCGTAAGGGACAAAATTGTTATATAGCAATGAACCTCTTTTTCTGTATGATCTTTATTTCGTTGAATTTCAATTTAATGATCTTTATTCCATTGAATTTTGAATTTAATTATTTTTGTTTTATTGAAATTTGAATTTAATTATTTTTCTTTCATTGAAATTGAATTTCATTGAAATAAAGAAACTTAAATTTTTTTTAAACTTTTGATAAAATTTCTCTAGAAGAATTCAATTAATTTCTATAAAATTTTAATAAATTTTCTCGAAAAAATTTAAATGTTTTCAAAAATATTGATACAATTTGTTTATTAGAATTAAATTATTTTCCATACTTTTTTAATTAAAATTTCTTGAAAGAGTTCAATTATTTTCAAAAATTTAAATTAAAATTTCTTGAAAGAGTTAAATTATTTTCAAAAATTTTAATGAAATTCATCGAAACAATTCAATTATTTTAATGAATTTTAATAAAATTCGTCGGAATAATTGAATTATTTGTTATTTCATAAGTTACAAAATTCTTTGAAAAAATTCTACTATTTTTAAAAATTTTGATAAAGTTCTTTATCAAAATTAAATGTTAAGAAATATTCAATTATTCAATAAATTATTTATTTTTTTATTTAAATTCTCGTCGAACATTCTAGTAATGAATTGATTTAAAATTGAACTTCAGGTAAAATTTTTGATAATAATTGAATTTTAAAAGCCATATAGTGTGAATTTTGAGAAATAATTAAATTTCAAAAGATTTTTGAATTGAAATCTTTGAAAATTTTAACTCTCGTAAAACTAATAATATTAAAATTTTTATTTTTAAATAAAATGTTTTAAGTTTTGAATAATTTTATTTAAAAATTTCAACAAAAAAATGTTGTAATTTTGGAAAAATTACAGTTACAATTTTTAGAAATAGTTAAATTTTAAAAAAGCTGTACATTAAAATCATTTAAAATATTTTAATTCCTGTGAAAAGAGGTGCATATTTAAATACTTATTTTAAGAAAATTATTCTATTTTTTAATGTAATTAAATTAAAATTTTTTTTTTAAATTGAGTCGTCAAATTAAATTTTTTGATAGCTTTTTTTACTACATTTTTCAGTTTTAAAACTACTTTTTAATGCTTTTTTCAAATTAATTATCGAGTGCAAAGCCTGATACAAAATAGTTTCTTATTTTGTCAGTTTAATACCTACGATTATTTTAATATTTCTTAACGTTTTTATATTTTTATTTAAAGAAATAATGATTTATCACTCGATCGCTTTCATCATTTCGGCAGATTTTATTTGACTAATTTATAATAGAGACAAAATAATCTTGAACTGGATTTAAGAAATTTTATTTTTATCAATGAAACTTTATTCGCAGTAGAGAAAGATTAAATAGAATTTTATCAATTTTTTTTCTGTAATAATTTGGAATGAAAATGGTATTTTAATCTTTATTATTTATGGAAAGTATTATTTTTATTTTTTTTCCGAGAAAGAAACCTTTTTTTACAATTTTTTTTGCATTTTAGTTTTTATTTATTTTTGTACCAATATAAAAATATTTCTTTTGTACAATTATTTTTTTTTGTTATAATTTTTTTTTTATTTTAGTATCAATATTCTTTTATAGTATCAAAATTTTCTTTTAGAATTAAAATTCTTTTTTATAGTGTCTAATTCTATTTTTGATATCAAAATATTTTCAAACTTTTTATTTTGGTATCAAAATTCATAAACGTAATTTTTGCTTCCGGTTTGAAATGTCTGCTATTCAGTAGAATCGACAAATTTATAACAAGATATATATACAGAGAGAGAATTCAATGTTATTTGTCAAGTGTTTCATTCATTGTTCTTTAAAATCAAAACGAGACGTTATCAGTTTGATGCGCGTCGTTATTGTTTTCCACAGCAAATAATTTCTCTTTCAATTCCGTGCCGCCTGTTATAAATTCAATCGAAAAAATCTTGAGAAAACAAGACAAATGGTGATTTTTTATTTCAATAAAGAAAACTAAAGTCCATAATTTTTTTTCTTAATCAAAAACCAACTTTTATGATTAAAAACCATTTTTACGATTAAAAATCCATTTTTATAAAAAAATCTCCAATTAAAAATTATTTTTTATTATTAAAAAATTAAAATGTTGAAATTTTTTGTTTTCAGAATAGAAAGCTTGGGGGCGAAATATTTGCTTGTAATTTTTGCATTTTTATCTGAGAAGATTAATCTATTCCTAGATACTTTAATCGGCGCTCTATATCAAAGTAGCGGACTAAAGTGGTAAAAAATATGGACCCTTTTAGAAGCTGGCGCCTTAGGTACTTGAAGTTATCTATCTAGGGTCACTCACACAAAACAGAAAGAGCGAAAAGAAAGAAAGAGAAAACGAGAGAAAGAGAGAGAGAGACAGTTTCTATACATAGAAACATTTGAAGAATTGGCGATAAAACCTACAGAGAATTCATTCATTCATTTCATTTGCCTCTGTTCTTCTTCTTCTTCCTCTTTTGTGCTTCCTCTTCTTCCACTCTTTCGTTCTAACTCGAGAAAATAAGAAAAAAAGAAATAATGACAGTATAGGAAAAAAATCAAGTTAGCAAAGGCCCCCATGTCTTTTTTTTCTCCCCTGTTCGTTTCAATTTATTTAGTCGAAGGAGGGAAAGGGGAGTAAAATAAAAAAAAAAGAAAGAAAATGTTTCGAGAAACAGAACCAGTCGTCTTTGAAAAGTTTTTGAAGACAAGTCTTGACTTTGTGACTATGCCCGCCACATGTTTTGATGAGAAACCACACCACTCCTCTTTCAAAATGAATTAGCATAAATTTTCAAATCTACTTCATATTTCACTAATTTAATCTTTTTGTCTCATTTCCGTTGGTCTCGAACTTTTCAAAATGATGGCCTTGTTAAATTTCTCATATGTTTTTCTCCTTTTTCTTCTTTTTCTCATATTCTCATATTTTAAATTTAGAAAATATGAAAATAATTGTATGGATTTATTTTTATTGTAGGGAAATAACAAATAATGAAAATAATTTTATGGATTTTCTTTATTTTAGGGAAAAAATTCTCTCTTGACATTGCTTTAAAAATTCGAGAGAGAAAATTTGCAGTATTTTTTTGGTTTTTTATTTTTGAAAATAGACATTCCTTTCGATTATAAATATAAACTGGAGAGGAGAAGATGTAATTTCTGATTATATATCTTAGAGAAATTATTATTGCGCATTTCCATAATGGCTACAAGGCGATATTAAATTTATGAGAAGGATAGGCAAATTAGGATTGTCTGGAATAAGTATTGGAAATTATTGTCTGTACCATTTGAAAACTATTCAAAGTGTTTTTTTGTGTTTTTTGGGGAAAATAAATTTAACTTGAAATTATTCAATCGAAACGATTGTACATAAAAAGCATTTTTCGCTTACAAGCGAACCTATACGAGTTTAGAAAATAATTTTTTAGACATTTCAGTAAGGAATTATTATTATCATCATATTATTTTATTTTACTTATAATAATCGTCGTGCTTATTCTGTCCACGTCTAAAGTTAGTTATTATTGCGTATTTTAATTTTTTTTTTTAGATTTTGACAGTTGATTATTTATGAAAATAATTGAATTTTTTGAAAGTATTTAAATAAATTTTTCGAAAGTAATTGAATTGTTTTGAAAAATTGCATTTTAATTTTTGAAAGTAATTGAAATCTATCAAGAAATTTTATTAAAATTGTATTGAAAATAATTGAATTCCTGCGAAGCACTTTATTGCCCATGACAATAATAAAATGAAAAATATAATACAAATTTGTAAAAATACAAAACAATTGTTTAGAATTTAAAAGAATTTCTTAAATTTAAATTTAAATTCTTTAAATTCGTTTAAGGAATTTAATAGAAATTGTAAGAAAAATAATTAAGTTCTTCTAGACAATTTTATTAAAATTTTTGAAAATAATTTAACTGTTTGGAGGAAAATAAAAATTCTTTGGAGGACTTCTGTTAAAATTGTACTGAAATTAATTGAATAGGTATTGCTAAAAAATTATATAAAAATTTTTGCAAATCCTAATTGAATTCTTTCTACAAATTTTATATAAAATATTTTTTAAAATCCTCGATTATTTTCAAGGAGTTTTATTTAAACTGTTTTGAAAATATGTAATTAAATTCCTGGAAAGAATTATATTATTTTTTTCAAATAATTGGATTCTTTTAAGGAAATTTATTAAAATTCTTAAACATATTTGAATTCTGTCAACAGAAATTTTATAAAAATTGCAAAGAATTGCAAAATTGAGGGGACGGCTTCTAAAAGGGGATACGCGTGGATTCTCGCGTTTAAGTTTTGTCCACTTGGTCAATTTTTGAAAGTATTACAAATTGCAATTTGAATTACCGAAGTTTGTGAGAAATGGAAAGGCGCATCTTTTTTCTTTAAGAAATAAATTTATATCTTTTTTAGTTTATGAAATAATGAGAAAAAACTAAATTTTTGAAAACCAAAAAATTTAAATGTTTTACGTCTTTAACTCGTGCTGGTGTTTTTGATTTTTCATATTTTGTAATCAAACAAAAACAAACTCACAGATTAAGGTTTCCTGAAACCAACTATATTTTTAAAACTTCAAAATCTTAATTAATAAAAAGTTTATTAATTTTTTCGAAAGACATTGCAAAAAATGTTTTTTTCAACTTTCAACGCTTCGTTTATCTAGGAAATTTCAAGGTACGAAAAACTTTCAGTGAGAAAGTTTTTTATTACGATACGGACAAGTTTTCTCTAAAATTTTATTAAAATGATATGGATATTTACAAAGTTATTAATGTTTAAAGCGTATGGTGCGTCAGATTTCTTGCGCCTGGAACGCATTGAGTACCGAATTGTTCATTTGCATGGAACATATTGACTATTTTAGTTTATTCATTTGTTTACTTAAAATAAATACAATTTTTATTAAAGTCACTGATAAATTTTTGCAATATTATTATTATTAAGAAGTAACCAATAATAATTAGCCAAAATCGTCTGGAAATAGTTAAAATTTACTGACATACAAATAATTAGTACACAGTTATTTTGACATAAATGTAATGTTAATTTAACTAATAAAAGTTTATTAAGAATAGTAAAAATATTATTATTTTAATTTTTGACTGGTTTTTTAATATCAAAGTAATTATTTTTAAATAATATTTAACTATGGATTATGACGATTCATCTAACTTTATATAACAGTAGCATCAGTTTATTTATTCTAACATGTATTGTACGTAAAGATATATGAAATTATTTTTAAAAAAATATTGCAGAATTATTCGCAAAATAAATTGTACAATAATTCCATATTGTATTTAATACTTGAAGTTAAAACAAATTTTATTTTATTTATATCTGTACCTATTTTGGCAAACATTTTCATACAATAGATTTTTTTTTTGTTATCATGTGCACTTCAAGGAAGTAACCCTTTTTTATATGCTATTTTTCTCAAAGTTGTCATTTGTTTTCACTCTACGGAAAAAATAATATGGTGTCCAGATGAGTCGCGGTTGCCGCGACCGTTGACTGCAAAAAAAAGGGTTCGGTAAAACCCAATACAATTTTCCCAGGATTTCGAGATTTTTTTATCACAATTAAGGAAATCGATATCTTTCTCCAAACGGACAGGAGTTATTTAATAATTATTTTAAAAACATTAAATGTAGTAAACGAGATCATTTTGACGAAGAGTGGAAACCTTGAACTAAATGAAACAAGAAACTTAAAAATAAGAAATATTATTTTAGTTGACTTTTGTACATATAACAAAATAAAATATTTAGGTTAAAAATAAATTTCAATAAATTTTATTATATATATATTGACAAAATATTTTTAACGCGTTGCAAACGAACAATTTGGGACTCAATGCGTTTCAGGCGCGAGAAATCTGACGTACCATATGCTTTAAACATTAATAACTTTGTAAATATCCATATCATTTTAATAAAATTTTAGAGAAAACTTGTCCGTATCGTAATAAAAAACTTTCTCACTGAAAGTTTTTCGTACCTTGAAATTTCCTAGATAAACGAAGCGTTGAAAGTTGAAAAAAAACATTTTTTGCAATGTCTTTCGAAAAAATTAATAAACTTTTTATTAATTAAGATTTTGAAGTTTTAAAAATATAGTTGGTTTCAGGAAACCTTAATCTGTGAGTTTGTTTTTGTTTGATTACAAAATATGAAAAATCAAAAACATCAGCACGAGTTAAAGACGTAAAACATTTAAATTTTTTGGTTTTCAAAAATTTAGTTTTTTCTCATTATTTCATAAACTAAAAAAGATATAAATTTATTTCTTAAAGAAAAAAGATGCGCATTTTCATTGTGTATAAATTTATTTCATTGAATTTGAAAATTGAAAATGTTTTAAAATCACACTATTCGTCAATACTTATACGTGAGAATCCACGCGTATCCCCTTTTAGAAGCCGTCCCCTCAATTGTAAAAAACAACTCAAGATTTTTTTTTGAAAAGTTAATTGAAAATCATTAAATTTTAATTGTCATAACCAAAAGGAAAAAAGTGCAAAAAATGAAATAAAGAGATAATTAACTTAAAATACATAAAAATAAATGTAAAATTAATAAAATAATAATGCAAAAAGTATAAAATTTGATGGAAAATTGAAAAAATTTTAATTGACGTAAAAAATATGAAATTAAATGTAAAATTGAAAAAAGAACTCAACTTCTTAATGGTTTTATGACCATGATTCAAATTAAAGACTGTCAAAAGCGATTGACTTCGATAAAGTAACATCCCAGTATTTATCGCAAATAAATCGTTCGGTCCCCTTTTTAAAAGATAATTCGAATTTTTTTTTATCTTTCTTTTTTGGGGGAAGAGAATGGTGGTAATTTGAGTGATGTACTTGAAATATAATCTGATTTTTGTTTGACTTATAAATGCAATTTATTTGACAACTTACGATTGATCATTTCAGATTATCTTTCCCATCGGGCCATTCATCCTTCTCATTCTACGCAATGGTTTATCTTGTGGTAAGTTTTTGTCATTTTTTCTCCCCTTTTTTTCTTTCATTTCCTTTTTTCATTTCCTTTTTTTCTTTTCTGCTTGTTTTCTTTCTTTCTTTATTCTCTTTTTTTCCTCTTTCGTTTTTTTTCCTGTTTTTCTTCTTTTCCTTTTAAAAAATCTTGAACACCTTGTAATTGACTGAGCATATGGCAATACAACATTCTAACTGTACTATTAACAAGGAATTCTTTTTTATGAATTCCTTGACATTTTTTTCTTTTTTTTAAATAAATTAATTAATATTCGAATCTTGTTTCCATAATCGAGTTGTTTTAGAAACTTTATTTTTTGACTGGATTTTCTGGAGTAAAAAATATACCTCTTGAAATCAGTTTATGAAATTTTTCCTGTGATTCGCGGATTTGGCTGATTTACCTTATTTGACATGAGTGAAAGTTTATTTTGCGACCTTCTTTCATTCTGAGTCAGAGGAGGATTTAATGGTGAGCTTTGCATTCTTAGTTGCAATCAGACTGAAAGAACCTTGGCGAAGAAGTGTTCAATGAATTTAGAACCAGATTGCTTGAGAATTCATTAGCAGCTGTTCATTTCTTCTTCAATGAGTTGAAAATATCTAATTTTTTTTTGTACAACATTCCATACGCCAATTTATTTGAAATGCTTCATTGTTTACGATTCGCTTTTGAATCACATTAAAAAAATAATAGAAATCACAAAAAATAGACTCACAAAAATGGAAACAAAAAAATAGAATCAAAAAAATAAAATCGAAGAAATAAATTCACAAAAAAAAAATTTTAAAAAAGTAAAATCACGAAAAAGGAGAAATATAGAAAAATTGAGAGGAAAAATTTGAAAATGATAAAAAAAAAAGAATTTTTAAAACAACTGAAAATAATATGGTAATTTTTATAACTAGAAAAAAATGAATAATTTATTTCAAATATAATTAGAAGAAATAAAGAAATAAAATTTAGTCATAAAATACTGATATTTATTGCAATTAAGAAAATAATTGAATTTGTTTGTTTTCTTTTTCAGTTGTATCTAGAATTGAGGTTCACATGGAAGGGTAGTAAATTATTGAAGAATGTTCTTCAATTTATCTGTTTATTAGCTGCCTGGTTCACTGCATTAACCAGAGTTTCTAACTACAAACATCATTGGAGTGATGTTCTTGCTGGTTCTGTTCTTGGAACTGTCATTGCAGTCATAGTGGTAAGAATTGAAATAAATTTTCACTTTTTCATTTTTTTTTTTTTATTATTATTACTTTTCATTATTATTTATTATTTTTTCAATTATTCCACTAGTTTCAAATTCTGGACACAAGAATTCAATTATTTTCATAAATAATGAAATTCTTCGAAGGAATTCAATTATTTTTAAAAATTTTAATTAAATTTCTTGTAAGAATTCAATGTTTTTCAAGAATTTTCGATAAAATTTTTTTTAAAAAATTAAATTATTTCTAATACATTTTTAATTCAATTTCATAAAAGAATTTAATTACTTTTAAAAGTTTTAATAAAATTCCTGGAATGATTTTACTTATTTTAAAAAAATTTCATACAATTCTTTGCACAACAGTTCAATTATTTTCATAAATAATGAAATTCTTCAGAGGAATTCAATTATTTTTAAAAATTTTAATACAATGCCTTGAAAGAATTCAATTATTTTCTAAAATATTTGTAAAATTTGTTTTTTAGAATTGAATTGTTTTCAATGCATTTTTAATTAAATTTCTTGAAAGAATTAAATTATTTTCAAAAATTTTAATGCAATTCTTCAAAACAATGCAATTATTTTAAAGAAATTTAATAAAATTCTTCGCAATAATTCAATTATTTTCATAAAGGATTAAATTTTTTGGAGAAATCCAATTATTTTAAAAAATTTTAATACAATTCCTTTATAAAGGAATTCAATTATTTTTAAAAATTTTTGATAAAATTTTCTAGAAAAATTCAATTATTTTTTAAACAATTTTAATAAATTTTCACCAAAAAATTGAATTATTTTCAAAAATATTGGTAAAATTTGTTAATTAGAAAATAATTATTATCAAAAATATTGATAAAATTAATTTTATAATTAATTTATTATTTTCAAAAATTTGAATAAAATCCCTCGAAATAATTCAATTATTTTAAAGAATTTTAATAAAAATCGTCGCAATAATTCAATTATTTTCTTAAATAATGAAATTCTTCGGAAGAATTTAATTATTTTTAAAAAATTTAATACAATTTCTTGAAAGAATTCAAATGTTTTTTTAAACAATTTTAATAAATTTTCACGAAAAAATTTTATTATTTTCAAAAATATTGGGAAAATTTTTTAATTAGTATTTAATTAGATATTTTACAAATATTTAATGAAATTATTCGGAAAAAATTCAATTATTTAAAATAATTTCAATAAAATTCGTCGGAATAATTGAATTATTTCATAACTTATAAAATTCTTCGGAGGAATTAAATTATTTTCAATACATTTTTAATTACATTTCTTGATAGAATTTAATTATCCTTAAAAGTTTTAATAAAATTTGCAAATTAGGTAAAACTATAGGTTTTAATTTAAAACTATAAAGAAAACTATAAAGAAAAATTATCAAAACATTTAGTAAACAAAAAAAACAAACAAAAACAACTGACTTCAAACGATGAATATAAATCACCGAAGTATAACGATTTAAATTATAGAAGTTAGTTTATTTAAAATTTAGTTTTTTATTTTAATCTTTTTAAATATGTAATTGTTTAAACTAATACAAAATATTGTACTTTGTTTATTAAAAATGGATCAAATTTTGAAGATTTATTAATTTAATTAATTTATTTAGGTTTTAATTAATTAAATTTATTTTCTTTCAATTAATTTGGTTCTGTTTTAATTATTTTAGTTTAGTTTTTTAATTTAATTTTTTTAATTGTGTAATTTTTTAAACTAATTATTAAAAATCATACTTTGTTTATTTAAAATGGATAAAATTTCTTCAATTTATTTAATTCATTATTTTATTACATGTTTAATTAATATTTGATTCAGTTTTAATTAATTTGGTTCGATTTGAATTTTATTTCCGATTAGTTTTAATTAATTCATTATAACTTTTTTTTTATTTGAATCGAATTTTTTTTTAATTGGAATGTTTTTTCTTTTAATAAAAATATAAAAAATTATGAGAATTTGAAGTATTTTTGAGAGGAGAGAAAAAAAAAGAGAGTAAGAGATATAAAATTCTTTTCAGGCACTGAATGTAGCAGATCTCTTCAAGGAAAGGAGAACCAGTACGGAGAAGCTTCACCCGGCCGAATACGAAGTGGAAGATGGGACACAGGTGAATAATGGCACATCGAATCGTGTCTGTTGACCTAACGAGCTCGCTCTCCGCTTGTTGCCAGCAACACAATCGTGATGCATTTTCAGATGATTCTTAACGAAGTAGTATCGCAATTTTCAAGTTTTGAAAAGTTTTTTTTAAACAAATTTTTCATTTAACTTGTATACGTGTAGAAATGCTTCTAAATCGATTTTTCAAAACGAAAGGAAAAGAAAAAAAAAACATTAAGAAAACATTCATCATCGACTCCTGGATCATCGTTTATAAAACATCTACTGTTTGGAACACATTTTATCATTAATAGTCTGTAGTAGGATCATCGACGCTTTTTTTATTCGTGTCTTTGTCTTCTTCCACATTGTGTTCCGTTTTCATTATTTCACGAATTCCACTTTTTTCAAATGTTCGAATTACATTTATTCGTTATGTTCATTATGATTTAATTCCACAATTTCTATGATTAGAAATTAAAAAGAAAATTCTAGGGAATTGAAATTTGGAAAATTCTGTTTAATGGAATTTTATTTCTTGGAAATAGAAATTTAGAAAATTATATTAAAAGGAATTTTCCAAATTTCCAAATTAGAAATTAGAAAGACAATTCTATGGAATAGAATTTTCCAAATTTCTAAATTAGAAATAAAAAAAGAAAATTCTAGAGAATAGAAATTTAGAAAATTCAATTTAGTAGAATTTTATTTCTATGGAATAGGAATTAGTAAAATTCTATTTAATAGAATTTTTCAAATTTCCAAATTAGAAATTAAATAGAAAATTCTAATTAATAAAATTTTATTTCTATGGAATAGAAATTTAAAAAATTCTAATTAATAGAATTTTATTTCCACGGAATAGAAATTTTTAAAAATCTAGGAAATTGAATTCAATAAAATTTTACTTCTATGGAATAGAGTTTAGCAAAATTCTAAATAAGAGAAATTAAAATATAATAATGGAAATTATAAAAAAGAGAAAATTGCGATTAAAAAACAAATTTTGATAATTTGTGAAAAAAAGGGAAAATAATATTCGATGGTGTAATTTGACATTTGAAAAGAGGGGAATTCAAAGGCCATTTTCTAGGATTCTAGATGTTTTATTTTGTGCACGTGTTGTGAAACAATGAAAGTATTAGATTTACATAGTGAAGAACGAATACAAATCGGAGGGCGATAGTAGGAACTGTGATCATTATTCTTTAAGAGAATATTTCCATTTAACTGAATCTACGGAGCACGGACACTCCCGAAAATTTTTTTCAAAGCTTTATAAAAAAAAACTTTATTTAATTCTTTTTTTCTAACGGTGATAATAGTTTCAGCTCATTAAGGTGCTATTTTCGAATATTTGTTATTTTTTTTACATTTAGTTATGTAAATACTTTGAAGAATTTATTATTAAATTATTTTTTTTTTACTTTTTGTTTACTATTTATTTTCTTTACAATTTTCTTTTGTTCTTCAATCCTTTTCTCGTTAACTTCTAGTACTCTTCGAGTAAAGCAAAAGGAAAATTCAAAATAAAAAATTTTAAATTGACTAAAATTATAAAAAGTAATTTTGACTGCCAGTTTAGTGTACCTGTGCTTCGCATCTAGATATTTAAAAATAAGAGCAGCGAAAAATCGACTTTAAACTTATTGATAGGTTATTTTTAAAAATCTAGACGACTGTGAAATCGACTAATTTTTTTTTTATGTCGATCACGGGAAAAAAACTGAATACTTGAAACGAATTTATTTATTTGAATCTATAAAGTAAGAAATTGTAAAAAAAAATTTTAAATCTGTTTTATGTTCCAGTAGACAATGCGTTTTTATTTATTTTCTCTTTCTTATTGTTTTAGTGAAACATATTGTGTCTGAACATATCATTTGTCGTCAAATTGTCTTAGTTTTTAATTATTTTCGTGTTGGCTTTCTTAGAGGAACATGGATCAGCTTTAAAAAAAATATATATATAATATATATTTATATCCACGTATTAATTTACGTGAATTCATTTTTAGTTTTAGAATATTGTATTTATTTTAACAAGATATTAATTGAATGAAAAAAAAAATCTTAAAGATTAATTGAGATTAATTTTTTTGTTACTATTATAATATTATTAATGTATAATAATTTTCTAATTGCGATTTTCAAAAATTCGTGTAATACCAATCGGCGGTATACATTATTGAAAAAATAATGAAGGATCATAAATATTGCACTCAATTTCAATATATATATAAGTTTTCACCAGTACAAATAAATAACGATGGCAATAAATTTTTTGTTTTGGTTGTAACAACCATAATCTCTGCTGTAAATATTGCAGTTGTATAATTTTAGATGAACAGTAAACGGAATTATCGTACTTTAAAAAATTGTGGTAAACTTTATTTTCAGTTTCCCTTTTAAAAGTTCGATGATTTTTTTCTTTATTTTTTAATTTTAATTATTATTACTATTTTTGTTATTATATTTTTTTATTATTTATTTATTATTTACTTACTTTTCTTATTATTTTAATATTTTATTATTTATTAATTATAATTATTTTTAATTTATTTAAGTTTGAAATATGTCAAGTTTGTGAACAAAATTATTGTTCTGTGTATTTTTTCTGCTTCTATTCGAGTAATAATTCATTTAGAAATTCATTTTTCATTGTATTTTATTATGAAGTTTAAAAATAATTTATTTATTTACATATTTTTATTAATTAACTTCCAGAAAGAAGAAGAACCTTTACGAATAACGGATCCAGCCCACTATGGAGGAATTAATAATTGAAGTACAAATGGATTTCCAAGCTAATGATAATTCAAAAAAGAAAAAAAATAATTAAAAATTTTTTTTACTCGAAATTTTGTACATACCTGATAAATTTTTTTTAATTTGTATTTTTAGATGAAAAAAAATTAGGAATATTTATAATAAATACAATAATTACAATAAGCATAAATTTATTATAATAATGTTAATAATTAAATAATTAAATAATTAAACATTTTTAATAAATATAATTAATAAAATATTATTTATAATTATTTTGAACGTATTTTTAATTTTTCTATAAATAAAAACTGTAGTAAAGGACAAAGAAGGATAAATTATGTATTGTATAATATTTATATTTCTATATGTATATAATAATTCTATTATAATTTATATTATAATATTTAATTATGTTCAAAAAAAGTGTAAATTTTCGCGCCATAATAGAATAACTACTCTAGTCGTTGACACTGCGGTTGATATTTGTCATCATCCTTCTTGTTTTTGTTTAAATCAAGAAGACTTTTTGCTTTAAATAACAAGAAATATACTCGATTATTTTTAAAATTATTTCAAGATTAATAATCGTATGCTACATTTTTAGTATGTATTTCTTATTGTTATCAGAAGCATTAGAAGGATTAGAAGGAAGTCAACGACTAGAGCAGTAATTTTATAGTGCGCATGTGCAGTAGAAATGAAACTGAATTTAGGTTATGTAAACACTCTTCTGGTGCTCTTCTGCCTGCTTCTGCTTCTTCTATGCAGATCACGGCGGTCACGGCTTTTTAAAATATAATTCTTTTACTTTTCATATAACAGAAAAAAAACTTGTATGAGTGAATAATAAATTTAGAAAAAATGAAGAATATTCTAGACTTTGTCGGTGAAAATTTACGATTTGAAATTCTAATAGTAATATGGACAATATCGTTATGGGAACTTTATCTCTCTTTCCGGCAGGTAAAAAATTTTCCATCAGATGCCTTTTATTTACATTAAATGGAAATCTTTATTTAAATAGTCAAAAAAAAAAAATTACGTAACAATTTAATCAACTTTTTCTATTTCAGAGGAGATTAATGCAAAAATTAGAAACATTACCTACTTTATTAGATGGAATAATGACACAAGAATTATATAGTAAATCACGTCTTTATTCACTAGACAAAAGTAATCTTGGAATTTTTAAAGCTGTATTCGCAACAATCTATAAAACTGTAGGTATCATATATAGGAGAATTGTCTGGTAATTTCTAGAATAATTAAAAAATTTATTTTGTTCTAGATTTTAATAGTTTTCTTTGCGTACTATCACGCTTGGGTATGGAGTTTAAAAGTGAATGAATCGATCGGTTTGGGTAGTGAAAATGATATTTTAAACAGTTGCACATGTATGTTTTTGACGAGCATTATTTCATTTTTCGTTGAACTGCCTATTGACGTGTACAACACATTTTGGATCGAAGCAAAACATGGATTTAACAAGCAGGTAAATTCCCCTTTTTCGTAGTTGACAATATTTACAATTTTTTAAATTCGCTTATTTGTTTTTAAATACTTGTATACGTACAAATTTTAAATATAAAGAAATATGAATATAGAGAAAAATATAAATATAAAGAAAATATAAGTATAATTTTGAATAAATAGAATTTAGAATGCATAGTAAAATAATACTACAAATTCTAAAATCTTTTTCAGACTCCGTTGTTTTTCGCCAAGGACAAAGTGAAACAAGTAATAATCACGCAAATATTCTCCCTGCTGATGATGAGCGGAGTGATATGGATTATTAAAAATGGTGGCGATTACTTTGTCCTCTACTTATGGGCCTTCACAATGGTTATGATATTTGTTATGATGCTTATTTATCCAGAATTCATAGCGCCACTTTTCGATAAATATTCACCACTTCCCGATGGTGAATTAAGAGAAAAAATTGAAGCTCTCGCTTCGTCATTAAAGTTTCCATTGTACAAATTGTTTATTGTCGAAGGCTCGAAACGATCGTCTCACAGTAATGCCTATATGTATGGTTTCCACAAGAATAAACGAATTGTTCTCTTCGACACGCTCGTTAAAGAATACTATAAACCAAGTGAGGATGAAAAAGACAAGGGCGATGAGAATCGTAATCATGGCTGTGAAACTGATGAAGTTGTTGCCGTATTAGCTCACGAACTTGGACACTGGCAGTATAATCATGTCTGGAAAAATCTTCTTTTGGCTCAGGTAGGATTTTAATTTAAAGATTTTGGTCTCTTTTAAATTTTATTTAAATTTCAGGCTTGTACTCATCACTCCCAAAAGAATTCAGTTGTTTAAGGAACATTTTTATAGAATTCTTTGCAAATATTCAGTTTATTTTCATAAATAACAAAAATTTTCACAGGAATTCAATTATTTAAAATACAGTTTTCATAAAATTCTTCGACAAAATTTAATTTAAAGTATTGAAAATTCTTCGTAAGAATTCAATTATATAAAAAAATTTTAATAAAGTTCTTCTCAGGAATTCAATTCTTTTTACAAATTTTAATAAAATTTGTTGGAAAAATTCAGATATTTTCATAAATAATAAAATTCTTCGGAGGAAATCAATTATTTTAAATAATTTTAATACATTTTAATACCCTTTGGAAGAAAATAAAAAATTATTAAAAATTATCAAAAATTCGAAAAACCGAATTTCTTAAAATTCAACATTTTTTCATCTGTTTTATGGCAATTACCTTCAGTATTTTTGGGCTCTTCAAAAACACTTTACTTATTTAGTAGTCTCCGCCCTTTGGTAAAAAATAAAAAATTATCAAAAATTATCAAAAATTGGAAAACCAGAATTTCTAAAAATTCAACATTTTTTCTTCGGTTTTATGGCAATTAGCTTTATTATTTTTGTGCTCTTCAAAAACACTTTACTTATTTAATAGTCTCCACCCTTTGGTAAAAAATCAAAAATTATCAAAAATTCGAAAAACCGAATTTCTTAAAATTCAACATTTTTTCTTCTCATTTACTGCATTTAACTTCATTTTTTTCATTATTAAATTAATTATTTTTGTATTTAAATAATTGAATTCTCGTAGACTTTCTAAAAATAATTAATTTAAAATTAAATTTCAGTTAAAATTTTAGATAATAATTGAATATGAGAAGCGTTATAGTGTGAATTTTGTGAAATAATTAAATTTCAAAAGACTTTTAAATTGAAATTTGAAAGAATTACAGTTGTGATCTTAAAAATAGTTTAATTTCAAAAAGACTTTTGCATTGAAATCATTTAAAATATTTTAATTCCAGTGGAAAAATAAATAGGTATTTAAATATTTATTTAACAAAAATTATTCTATTTTCGAATGTAATATTTAGTTTAGAAATTGTGAGAAAATTGAGTCGTTAAATTTAATTTTTCGATAGCAACTTTTTTTTTACTTTTTTCAGACTTAAAGCTACTTTTAGTAATTAACTATCGAGTACGAAACCTAAAATTCAATCAATGCATAATTTTTTCTTTTTAAATTGTTACAGATATCGATTTTGATCAACTTTTACGTTTTTGACATGCTTTTACACTATCATCCAATGTACAATGCTTTTGGTTTCACCGATTCGGAACCAATTCTTATCGGCCTCATTATTGTTTTGACCTATATTTTGATGCCAATTAATGAGGTAAGACATTGCATTATTTTTTTAGATTTATTTATACGTTAAAAAAATTCTTTTCCTTTTTTTATGTTTACAAAAAAGAGAAAGAGAATAAAGAAATCTTCTGATAAATAAATTTTTTCTAATAAAAAGGATAATTTTGTTATAATTAATTAATTAATTAAATTAATTGCCATTAATTTGTTGTAGCTAATCGACTTTGGACAAACCGTCTGCTCGCGAATATTTGAATTTCAAGCGGACAATTTCGCCAAGAATTTGGGCTACACTGAGAATTTGAAGAAGGCACTGATAAAATTGCAAACGGATAATTTAAGTTTCCCAGTGTTCGACAAATTGTATTCCACTTGGCATCACAGTCATCCTCCAATTCTTGAAAGATTGGAAAACTTAAGTAAAGAAGACTAAAGAAAAAAAGACTAAGATCTTTTCTAATTGTGATAAATAAGGAAGTAATTTTTAAAAAAATTTGCAGGTATTTCCAATTCTTTAATTTAACTTTCTTTTTTTTCCAAACTTCTTCTTTACATTTTAAATAGTTTTTTTTTTCTTGTCTTTTTATAAACAATTTCACAAATATTTCTACCTTTTTTTTAAGATGACAAAACACTACGATTTTTGTATAAATTTTTCCATTATACAATTAATAGTCATGTAGAAATAATAAATTATTTAAAATTTAAAATTGTATTTACAATAGCAGTTATCCAGGTGGTTATTGCGTAAGCGCCAGCGTCGACTTGTGTCAAAAATTCCGCCTGCTTCACATAACTGGCACGTCCGGCTCTAAAAAATAAAATTTTCATTTAATACTTTCGAAATATTGTAGTTTTTAGAAAAATTTATTTTTATTTTCACTTTAACTTTTTTATTATTAACTATTAATATTATTATTTTATTGAATTAATATTACTATTATATTAAATTAATATCGTTTATTAATTTATACTTAAATATTTATGTAACTATATGAAAAATTGTTACTTTGGTGTCATATTTTTTGTAGCCTCACAGCCGTCTTTCACTGCTTTTTCAACTATTTTTGCAGTCTCAATAACGGGGAGAGATAAATTCGCTTCAAGTTCGGAGCAACCGGCTATCATAGCGTCAAGCTAAAGGATTTTAATTTTTTTAAATTATAAATCTTTAAAATTCTACCGTCGACGCACAACTCTACTGAAAAGTCGATCCTGTAGAGTGAATTAATTTAATTTAATTCAATTCGTTTCAAATACATTTCCTTTTCAATATGTTTAGTAAAGGAGAAAAAAAAATAAATTCAATTTACAGGATTTTTTCAGTAGTTGTCGCGTACTTATATTTATTTTTTTTATTTTGTTTGAGAACCATTGTTTTATCGCCCATTCTGGCTTTGCTGTGCTTCATTATTCCGTTAATTGCCATTCTCCAAGCTTTATGCCACAATTGGGGCCAATTTTCATTATCAGAATTTGCAATTTCTTTTGCCGACAAAGTGAACATTAAACTGTATAAAGCGCCCGACGTTCCACCCACTTTCTCTTCGGCAATGTAGGAAAGTTTCATGAATACCGAAGCTGGATGTGATAGACTAAATTCTTCTATTGACATCACAATAGCTGTAAAAAGAATAATCCTTTCAAAAATTCGTCAACATTCTTTAAAATTGTTAAATATTCTTGAACATTTTTGAAATATTCTAAATATTCTAAAAATTTTTAAGTATTCCTAAATAATTTTTAAATATTCCTTTTAACTTCTGGAATTTATTCTAAGTTTGATAATAATTACCATCGGCAAGTAGTTTCAAAGTTGAACCACAATCTCCATCGCCACAACCACTATCGAGATTATTGATATAATTTTCCTTGTCAATTATCGCTTTACTTGCATTTAATAGGCATTCTTTAAATAAACGTTCTTCGTGTTTGTTGAATTTTTTCCCCAATTTATTGAATGTCACTCTTTCCTCCTCGACGGAAAATTTTTCCCTTTTAGAAGAAGGAATTGTATACGATTTTCCCGGCCATTGCGGTGCTTCGGTTGGATCATCGAGATAATTAATTATTTCTTTTTCCTCATTCGCGGGAAGTTTCAATATTGATACATGAACACCGGAACTATTCAATGATGACATTAATATTCCAGAATAAATTCGCACGGGCTTTATTCCAAGCAGTTCTGTTAGTATAAAAATGAATTTAATTTAGTTTGATTGTTAACTTTTAACTTTAACAAACTTTGAAAATATTAACTTTCAATTAATGATTTCGATCTACAATTTCAATTAATGATTTCAATCAGTGATTTTAATTTAAGTATTTAACAATTTAAATTCTTAGATAAAAAGAAAAAAATTGTAAAAAAAAACTCACGACATTGTGTGACTACTTCTTTGACGACGATTCCAGTTTCTAATTGATTCAATCCACCGAAATTATTCACAATTATTGCAATTGAATCGTTGTATTGAAGAGATAGAGTTTCGATTAATTTCTTCAGAATTTGCGATACAATTACATTTGTAGTCTGTAATTTTTTTCTCTCGTATCCCGCTTCCCCGTGGACTCCCAGTCCGTATTCTATTTCATCTTCTGGTATCTCGAACATTAATCCTTTACCTAAAAATTTTTTAATAGTAAATTAATATTAGGTATTAACATTCTTACAATTATTTTTCTTTCTCAGTATTAAAAAATAGTGAAATAATTCAATTTTTTAAAGTGAAGATTAAAATTCAACAAGTAAATTAGAAAATTTCTTGAATTAAAAACCTGGTAGTGAACAAGCTGTGAGACCAACGCCGTAAGTTGCTATATTTTTTAAGACTAATTTTGCGAATTTCGTTACTTCCTCCAAATTATGACCCCTTTGGGCGAGAGCGCCTGCAATTTTCATTATAAACAAAATACCACAAACTGCTCGTCGTCCAGCACGTCCCAATTCATTTTCTGGTATTGAGCAATCGTCCTCTACAATTATTTCATTTACCTAAAATTTTCTATCGTTAAATTTGTAATTATTGATTGAAATTAATATTTCTTACTTTTATTCCCAGAACTTTAGCCTTTTCAATGGCTATTCCAAAGTTTAAACAATCGCCCGTGTAATTCGGTATAATGACCAAAGTACCAGCTGTAAAAAAAAAATTTTTATTTAGTTATTTTCATTCAGAATTCCTTTACTGCAAAAAAATATATTTAATTAGAAAAATTTCGAAATTATTTTCCATTGAACTTTTCTTTCACTCGCACCATTATTATTTATTGATACACATTTTAAGGCATGTAAAATATGACTCGGCGGAGGTGAGGCGAAAATTGATCCAGCAATCGCAGCATTCAACATACCAGAGCCGACAAATCCTAAAAAAAATAATTATATTGAAATTATTCAATGTTAATTAACAACAGTTTCGAAAAATTAAAAATAAATTGTCTAACACTTAAGAAACAAATTTAAATTGAAATAAACAAATTTAATTTAACGATAAAGACAAACAATTCAATTTATTAAATTAAACGATTAAACTGATCAATAAAACTATAAAGATAACAAAATGAAATTGAAAATTAAAACAAAAATATTTATTAACATTTAAAAACAGTTTGAGGAATATTGGAAATTTTACCAGTTGCGAAAGGTTCGTGACCACTGCCACCACCGCAAATTATTGTCACTTTTTCATTTGAATCTGACCACTAGAAAAACTGATAATTAATCAAATACTTATATTTTATTGTAATTGGAAAAATATTTAAATTTTCAATATGTAAAGAAAATAATAATGAATAATAATTAAATAATCAATAACTAAGTAATAATAATAAATTAAATTAAATAAATAACACTTATTTTAACTAATAATAATAAATTATTTAATAATAATTAATTACCTAAGAATTAATTTTTTGTTGTTAAAAAATACTTACATGAGGTGCTAAAACAACTCGTTTCTTCAAATGTAATTCAAGGCACGGGTATGTCAAAAAAAATCCTGTTAATGATTCATCAACTGCTGTTGATACCGAATTGATTAAATTCTTTTTTGACATTTTATTACGCAGATTTTAATATTTTTAAATAAACTAAATAGATCAAAAATCAATTATTCTCTTCGGTGCGTTGGAAAATTTTTCCAGTCTTCTTTCAATGAAACATAACAGAAATTATGAATAGGATTCTCAAATCCCTAAGAAAATATTTATCATTCACTTTGACACGATTAATATTATGTAACACACATGCTACATTTATGACCTTCTTCCTCATTATCAACAAATTACGTCAGAATATCCATATTATATACAGTGGTGAGATTTATTTTGAATTAATAAAATTTCACGTTTAAATTAACAGAATTTTATTTTTCTCTTGCTATACATTTTTTATAAGTGTACAATAAAAAACTCACTAAAAAAGAACGATAAAAAATTTGACACTTTTTTTGAAAATTTACAATGTTTCAACATTAATGAGTTTAAATTAATTAGGTATTTAATTTTAATTCTTTAAATTTAATTAATTTTCAAATGTAAAAATTATTAAATATAATAATTATTTATTGTGTAAAAATAAAAATTGAAGTTTCTTAAAAGTTTGCATTTGATTTTGTATTTCATTAATTTTTAACTGAATTCATCAAGTTTTTGGTTAATTCTTCAAATTTGTGTATTTAAGAATTTTGTTTAATTTCTCAAGTACAAGTGAATTTAATTCTTTATAATTAAAATGTGCGTTAATTTAAAACATCACCGGAATTATAATTGTAATAAAAATTATATATATTTTAAAAAAATTCTAAATGAATTTTTATACATATTTTAAAAAATAGTTTTGAAGTGATAATTCATTTTCCAAATTCACTCATAAGAAATTTCAAAGCAAATCCGCTTGTTGAAACATTTGTACAGTATTATAATTAATCGTGTGATTTATCTGTTTTCACATATTTCTTTGCTTCATTGGCAATATTTTTTATTTCTGACAATCCTTCATCGAGAAGCGATAAATTTGCTGCTTTTTCCGCCTCTTCACTTGAACTCAATAATTTCAGCACTAAATCTAAAAGTAGAAAATTAATTTTTATTTTATTTTCTTAAATATAAAAATTTTATTTCAATTAAATTTGACAAAATTTCCAATTTACTTCAATTTTTTAAAATTATTTTCGGGAATTCAACTATCTTAAAGAAATTTTAATAACAATTTTTCAAAAGCCTTATTTTTTCAGAGTTTCTATCTATATTTATTTAAAACTTCGATAATTTTTGTTTAAACAATATTAATTAAAAACTTAATTTTATTTATTTTACGCAGGATTTTAAATAAAATTTAATAGTCAAATTTTTAATTGCAATTATTTTAAAAAGTTGAAATAAATTCTGCGCAAAATTCAATTATTTTAAAAATTTTCAATTAAAATTATTTAAAAACTCCATTATTTTCAAAAAACTTTAAGAAATTCTTTAATAGAATTTAATTATTTACGAAAACTATAATCAAATATTGTTCAACAGAATTCAATTTTTTATCAAAATTTTCGTAAAATTTAATAACAAAATTATTAATTACAATTATAAACAAAATTCAATTATTACCAAAAATTTTCATAAAATTCTTAGCAAGAATTGAATAATTTTTATATATTTTAATTTTAAGATTAAAAAAATATAAAAAGAGAAATTATTACAAAAGTTAGGAAACAAAAAATAATTGAATTCTATTAAATAATTTTATTTAAATTGTATTGAAAGTAATTTAATCCCTCCAAAGAATTTTATAACATGAAAATAATTGAATTCCTGCAAAGCAGTTTATTATTTATGAAAAAAAAAAGTAATCACAATTTTGGAATATAGTTAAATTCTTTAAAGAATAATTGAAAATAATAATTGAATTTTGGAATTATAATTCTTAAATTTTAAAGATGACATTTTACTATTTTTCAAAAAATTTATTTAACGTTTTGAAATTTAATGAATTTTTAAGGAATTTTATAGAAAAAAAGATTTAAAAAAACCAGAAGGAAACGAGATGGAAAAAAATTTAAATAATTGAATGTTTGCAAAGACTAAACTATTAAAAAAATAATAGAATTGTTTCAATGGATTTATTCAAATTTTAGAAAATAATTGAATTCTTTCGAGAAAATTTATTAAAAATTATATTGAAACTGATTGAGTTTCTCCAAAGAATTTTGTAACTTATAAAATAACTTATTATAATTTATTAAAATTGTGTTAAAAATAATTAAATTTTTCCAAAAAATTTTATTGCTAATGAAAATATTTGAATACCCGACAAAAATTTTATTAAAATTTTTGAAAATAATTTAATTGTTTCGAGGGAAATTAAAATTCTTCCCAGGAATTTAGTTAAAATGCGGTATTGAAAATAATTAAATTCTTATAAAGAATTGTATAAAAGTTTTTTTTAATTAATGGGATTATTTCGATGAATGTTATTTAAATTGAATTGAAAGTAATTAAATTCATATGAACAAATTTTTGAAAATATTGAATTCTTTCGAGAAAATTTATTAAAATTATATTAAAACTGATTGAGTTTCTCCGAAGAATTTTGTAACTTATAAAATAATTCAATTATTTCGACAAATTTTATTAAAATTCTTTAAAATAATTGAATTCCATCAAGAAATTTTATTAAAATTGTATTGAAAATAATTGAATTCCTCCAAACAATTTTATTATTAATATAAATATTTGAATTATCGCCAAGAATTTTACTAAAATTTTTAAAAATAATTTAATTGTTTCAAGGAAATTAAAAATTTTCAGACGAATTTAGTTAAAATTGTATTGAAAATAATTAAGTTCTTATAAAGAATTTTTTGAAAATAATGGAATTATTTCGAGGAATTTCATATAAACTGTATTGTAAATAATTAAATTCCTGTGAAGAATTTTATTATACACGAAAATAATTGAATTCTTGCGAAAAATTTTATTAAAATTTCTGAAACTAATTAAATTGTTTTAAACAATTTTACTAGTGTTTTGAAAATCATTCAGTCAACAAATTGAAGTTGATATTAGAAAAGAAAAAAATTTGTAAATTGAATATAAAATAGAAATACCGCGGAATATTTACATACTAATTAAAATATTGAAATTTAATTAAAATATATATATATATATATATATTAAAAAAACATACCATGATATTTAGTGAGAATGGACATAGCCTCGAGTTCCAAGTGCGTCTGCAGAAAAGTGAGAATCGACGAAACGTGCCTACCCGACATGTGCAATGCACTTTGCGTGGCAACGATGAATAAAATATTTGTCGCCAAATGAAGTGCCAATGCTGGATCCTGAGTAGAATTAATTTGATCAAGTAATGCTTCCCTATGACCAACAATAATTGGCCTATCCTTCTTTTTATCATATTTCCTCAAAACCAAACAACAAGCAATCATTGCAGATTCAATGGAATTCAAAAAATCCTCCACCGACTCACCAATCACACTTCTATGCAATTCACCAAGACTCTCCTTAATGTCTTTTGGAAATTCAAGAAGTAATTTTTGCCTCGCCTCTGTCGTTAAATTATTTGGACACTGTATAACATTTTGATTGCACGCCAATTTAAATATTTCCGTGACAAAATCCAATCCCAATGTTTTCAATAAATATTTAATCATTGACGATTGTACACTTTTTTCCAAATGCTTTATACCCTTGTCAAATACACGAATATTCACCGCAATCATATTGAGTCTATCTTCAATTTCATTTAAATTTGTATTCTTACTTTTTTGCATTAATTGCTCGGCCACTTGCATCACGTGTTTATTTAATAAAATTTGTAAATACGCCGCTAATTCATCGACAAATTCATCGATATCGGCAATATTTGAATCCTTCTTTAATTCCTTGGCAATATCGACGACAGCAATAAATGTTAATTCTTGTTTTACATTTGAATACGAAGCATTTTCTTCGTCTGAATCATTATTTTTTCCTTGATGAAACTTTTTTTTTGTTGATTTTGTCTTTGTTTCACGACCCTGTGCACCGCCACCACTCTTACCGCTTGACGCCTTTTTTCTTCTCTCAGCTTTTCTATCTGTTTTTGTATCAATTATTTCCGTGGGTTTTGATTTTAGACGATTCTCAGCAATTGATTGTAGCCATTTTCCACTGTCGACGAGTTCATTGGCCTTTTTCTCGGCTAGTGATTCTAATTTTTTGTATAAATTCTGTAGGAACGCTTCGGAAACGATGACAGTCGATGCATAAATATGAATATTTCGTTTTGTTCGTTTTAGAGTTTCTTTTAAAATTGTTTCGACGTCAGATGAACTGAAGACTGATGGTAAAAGTGGATAAATGTCCATGAATGTTTCGGTTGCTAATGTTTCGTCGATATTTGCGTCAACTTGATCTAATATTGTTGAACCAACAGCAACAGTGTCGAGGAGTGTTAAATTCTCATTGGGAAAGTGACGTTTTACGAAATTTTTCGGGTCCGATATTCCTAAACGTGAAAGTGCATCGTATTCTGAAATAATTTAAATTTGAAATTAGAATTTTTAATTTTTGAAATTTTCATAATTTAAAAAATATAATCTACAATTTAACAAATTTAATTAATTTAATGAAATTAAACATTACCGAGATATCCATTTTGTTTGTAAAAATTGTCAACCCATTCACTTTGACTTTTGGAATAAATTGATGGCACGTAAATACTATTTCCGCCTTGTTTTCCAGTAACGACACCAGGAACTTGCATCATTTCTTGTAAATTCTCCAGAATTGCTATAAAATTGTTTATTATTAATTATTATCTGCTTCAACTTCTTACATTTTTGAATAATTTTAGATTCAAAATTTAAAAAATTTACTTATTAATTCATTCATTTTTATACTTATTATTTTCAAAAGTTTTAATAATTTTAGTCGAAACAAATTATTTTTAACAATTTTAATAAATTCTTGTCAAAGAATTCAATTATTTTCTTAAAATAATATAATTCTTGAAAGGATTTTAATTGTTTTGTTTTTGAATACAATTTAATTGAAATTCTCTAAAAAAAATTCAATTTTTATTAGAAATTTTTTATTAGAAATTTGTCGAAAGAATTCCATTATTTTTAAAAATTTTGATATAATTGTTATTAAGAATTTAATTATTTTCAATACAGTTTTAACTAAATTCCTCGGAAGAATTTTAATTTCCCTAGAAACAATTAAACTATTTTCAATAATTTTAATAAAATTCTTGAGAATTCAAATATTTTCATGAATAATAAAATTGTCTAGAAAAATTTAATTATTTTCAAGATAATTTTAATAAATTTTCTCAAAAGAATTCAATTATTTTTCAAAAATTTTGCTAAAATTTGTGTATAAGATTTTACTTATTTTCTATACATTTTAAATTAAATTTCTTAAAAGAATTTAATTAATTTGAGAAATTTTAATTAAATTCACTTATTTTCAATATCTACTAATTCAATTAAAGCTCCCAAAAAAATCAGTTATTTAAAAAACATTTTAATTAAGTTTGCATGAATAATTCAAATTACTTCCATAAGTTATAAAATTCTCCGGAAAAATTCAACGACCTACTTACTTTCAATACAATTTTAATAAAATTTCTTGATAAAATTGAATGATTTTTGAAAAGTTTAACAAAATTTGTTGATAGAATTCACTTATTTTTAAGAATAGTGATTTAAACTTTAGAAGAATTTAATTATTTTCAATACAATTTTAACTATTTAAATTTCTCAAAAGAATTTTAATTTTCTTAAAAAGAATTAAATTATTTTCAATGAAATTTAAAAATTTAAATTTATTTAAAAATAAAATTTTTCTGAGAGATTCAAATATTTTCAATTCAATTTTAATAAAATTCTTCGCAGGAATTCAATCGTTTTAAAAAAATTATTATACAATTCTTTACAAAAATTTAATGATTTTCAAAAAAATTTTAATAAAATTCTTCTGAGAAATTCAAATATGTATTTTCAATTCAATTTTAATAAAAACATTAAATTGTTTAGGAATTATCTTTCTCACTTTAAAAAATGAGACAATTTTTTCAAATTTTGAAAAAGCAATCATTTTCAGAAGTTTTTATCAAAATTCTTCAAAAAATTGAGTAGTTATTGAAATTGTCGAAAAATTCTTTATAGGTAGAAATTTAATTACTTTTTGAAAAATTGCATTAAAATATTTTTAAGAAACAAATTTAATAGAATTTTTTATAATAATTTTGAATAATTTTATTTAAAAATTCTAAAAAATAATTTAACTCTGTAAGAATTGTAATTTTTGGAATGAATTAAATTTTGAATAATTGAAATAATTGAATTGCTTTGAAGAGTTTTTTTTTTAATTTCTTGAAAATAATTAAGTTTTTTACTAATTTTAATTGAAAATTTTGAAAGTACATAATTCAATTTTACAAAGAATTTATTTCAAATTTTTAAAATAAAATCATCTTTCTTATTAATTGTACTTAAAAATTTGATTATTGAATTTTATAAAAATTCCTGTGGAGAAATAAATAAGAATAAGTATTTAAATATTTATTTCAAAAATTATTATGGAATTTTTGAATAATTTAAAAAGAAATTATGAAAAAATTAGGTTTTCGAAAAATTGTAATTAAAATTTCCTGAAGATAGTTGAGTTCCCGAAAATAATTTTTTAAATATGAAATAATTGAAAATGTTGTCTAATTTATTTGAAATAAATTTTATATTTCAAAGAATTTTATTTCTTTGACTTTTAAAAATTATTTTGAAATGTAAACGTATTTTTGAAGAATTCTAATTGAAAATTTGGAAAATAATTGAATTTTACAAAAATTTAGAATTGAAATCATTAGCAGAATAAAGAAAGAAGTTTATATTCTTCTTAGAAATCAGAGAAATACATAATCAAAGTTTTGTGATAGCCCTGAATAAAATAAGTTACTTTTTTTGGATATTAAATCGACTAATTTTCCTTAGTTGTTATTTTTTTTTAGTTTCCTTAGTCGCCAAATTTATTTTTTCAATAGTTTTCTCTACTTCTTTTCAGTTTTAAAACCACTTTTTGCTACTTTTTCTTTAATTAATTAACGAGTTTGAAGTCTGAAATGAATATTTATAAGTATTTTAAAACCAAAATAAACTCTAACAAAAAAAAAGTAGAACAACTTACAGAAAAATATTCTCTCAGGAACAGCGCATTGTCCCAAAATAGCAGAAAGTGGAGTTGGTTTTGTAATTGCGGACAAAGCTCCTCTCACTTTTGCGCGATTTCTCGCCACATAGCCCTCGGTGTAAAATACTTTTAAATCCTGTGAATCTTGTTTACCAAAGACAATTTTTCCCAATTCTTTTTCCAACAATGATTGTATAAATTCAGCGGGTAAATCATATTTCAATGTCAAGTCCGACACATTTATATGACCTTGTTGACTTAATTTATCATTAATTTCGCCGGCAATTCTTATCATATAATTCCTGTCAATTAATTGACCCAAAATGAGTTTCAACGATTTATCATGCTTTTCAATATCATTGACTGATTTGGAAATTTGTGATAAATCGACATTCAAAATTTTCGCTAATTCCACTAAATTAATACGTCCACCATGAACGTATAATTCATCTTTTATTTCTTTCTCCAAATGTTGCGGTGTCACATATTCTTTGCCATCGTTCGTAAAAATAATATTCAATAATTTTGCTTCGGTTAGTTTTGTTATTATTTCCACACAATTACGCTCTGAGAGTCTAAAAAGAGGTTTTCAAGTTCAGTATAGTTTCAATTTTAAAAACAAATTCAAATAGTATAATTAAAATTCGAATCATTCGAATGTTTATTTTTTAGAACAAAATTTTTGAGGTTAGGGTAAAACAAAACGCTGTAATTTCATTCAAATTTATGTATCACTTGTAAAAAATCCCCTTCTGTATTATATCCCGGAGAAAATTTCAAAAATAAATAATTAATTATCAATTAAACTTACTTTTGTAGAGAAAAGCTAAGCTGAGCTTTTTGAAAGTCTGCAGCAAGTCTTTTAACTTCTTCCCAATCGACAGAAGTCATTTTTTTCGACAATATTTGTAAAAATTCTGATCACAGTTAATAATTATTTTGGTCTTATTAAAACCATTAAAGTCTTTTTAACTAGAGTGTTTATTTTAATTAGTGTTTTGTGTTTCTAAACACTGGAAAATCACCCCAAAAACATTCCTTATGTCACTCAACTCTTTTATGTGTTGTTTTTATCCACGTCACACGTGTGTTTGAAAGTTGTCGGTAAGACAATCAACTTCATTTCCGGTAGGTAAAAATGAACAATCAAATGTACCAACAATTTAAATGCCAGTAGTATAGTGTTTTGACAGTAGACATTTAAAATTTGAGAATGACAGATGAACGGAATTTTCGCTCCTCATATTATGAAAAGGTGAGATTTTTCTGTATATTATGTGTAAATTTGCGACATTAAATTACATTATTAAACTATTTGCAATATTTGTAAATTAAATTGAATATTTCAAAATGAGACAATCTAACCTCAAAATTTATATTATTTTTCAATTTTTTGTTATTTATTTACTGTATTTTACAGTGATAATCATTATTTTTGTTGTTGTCACTATTATTACTCTTCATTATTATTATTACTATCTTCATTACTTTTATTACTATCTTTATTCCTTTTATTACTATTATCCTATTATAATAGTGGAGGAGTAGAGTAAAATACTATATTTTTAATTTACTTTTCTCGTTACTGGTAACAGTTTACTTTTTTCTCTTAATTGTTATTATAAAAATAAATTTTCATGTTTCTCAAATTGTAGGTTGGATTTCGAAGTGTCGAGGAGAAAAAATCATTAGAAATATTATTGAAAGAACGTCCCTTGGATAAAGGAAAATTAAAGCAGTTCTGTTTACGATTCACAGTTCCTGCAATACATCGAAATTTTTTATGGAAAATTTTATTGGGAGTTATTCCAGTTCATGAGGATAGTCACGACTTTGTTATGAAGCAACGAAAAAATGAATTTGAAGATTTAAAGAGTGCATTGATTAGTGCACAAATAATGGACGTCACAACAAAACCTTCACAAATGTTTTTTACAATGTGGCTTCTGAGGAATAAACGGACAAAACTTGATATGAACACACAAATAGATATACCACCTTTTAGGTTTGTTATTATTATTATAATCATCATTCCTAATTAGTTAAATTATTTAAAATTTAATTTATTTGAAATTCACAACTTAAATTCAAAGTTAATTGACTCTTTTAACAGATCAATGAACAAGATGGCAAAAAGTTTATGGAATGTTATGAGTATAGATTATGATAATGAAAAATCAGTGGATATTTATTGGGTACTGTGTGGTTTTCTCGATCACATTCAAAAATTTCAAAAGGACGTTGATCGATTGAAAGAATGTACGTGCATTGTTCTTGAACGTGAAGATTTAGAATTATACAATCATTTAGTTGAAATTGATGCTCTGAAATTTCTTCCTTACGAAACTTGGTTTCATTCATGTTTTGCAGACATAATTAGCGATGGTTCCATAACAAAGTAAGAAATTCAAATTTTTTTTATTACGTTCTTAGAAATTTTTGATAAAAAAAAATTTTGTTTTTCATATAAAAAATGCAGTTATTTTTAACTGTTACTCAAATATCTTTATATAAATAATAAAATTCGTTAAAACAATACAATTATATTTTTGTAACTAATTAAACTCATTGCTGGATTTCAATTATTTTTAATACAATTTTAAATGAAATCATCGAAAAATGCAATTATTCTTAAAAATTTGATTAAAATTCTTCAAAAGTATTCAATTATTCTCAAAAATTTTTGATTTAATTCGTTTATTAGAATTGAATAATTATTTTCAAAAATTTTAATAAAATTCTTTATAACAATTCAATTATTAAAAAAAATTTTTTTTTAATTTCCATAAATTATAAAATTCTTTGTGAATTCAATTATTTTAAAAAATTTTAATACAATTCATAGAAAAAATTCAATTTATTTCAAAACTTTCGATAAAATTCTCTGGAAGAATTAAGTTATTTTCTATGCAATTTTAATCAATTTTCTCGATAAAATTTAATTATTTTTAAAAATATTGGTAAAATTTGCAATTATTTTTATAAATAATAAAATTCTTCAGAGGATTTCAATTATTTTTAACAATATTAATACGATTCCTTGAAAGAATTTAATTATTTTCTGTACGATTTTAATAAATTTTCTCGAAAACTTTTAATTATTTTCAAAAATATTGGTAAAATTTGTGTATTAGAATTTAATTATTTTCAATACACTTTTCATTAAATTTCTTTGAAGAATTTCATTATTTTCAAAAATTTGTCGAAATTCAATTACTTTCAATATCTGCTATTTTAATATAATTTCCCAAAAGAATTTAATTAATTAAAATAAAATTTTAATTAAATTCGTCGCAAGAAATCAATTACTTTCATAAGTTAGAAAATTCTTTCGAAAAATTCAATAATTTTCAGTACAATTTGAATGAAATTTGTTGATGGAATTTAATTATTTTAAAAAAAATTGAATAAAGATTTGTTGATAGAATTCACTGTTACAAAATTGTGTTAAACTCTTCAGAAGAATTTAATTATTTATAGTACAATTTTAATTAAATTCCTTGCACGAACTTAAATTTTCTTCGAAACAATTGATTTTTTATTCAATTTATTAATTAATTTAATTTCAATTCCTATTTTTAATACAATTTTAGATGAATTATTCGAAAAATTTAATTATTCTTGAAATTTTTATGAATTTTCTTCAAAAGAATTGAATTATTTAAAAATTTGTTGATAAAATTCTTTATAAGAATTCAATTTTAAGAAATAATGAATTATTTAATAAATTATTTATTTTTATATTTAAATAATTGAATTCTTGGAGAAATTTCTAATAAGAATTGATTTAAAATTGAATTTCTATTAAAATTTTAGAGAATAATTGAATATTAGAAGCGTTATGGTGGGAATTTTTAGAAATAACATGGTTGCCACACAACCTGGAAAACCTGGAAATAGCATGGAATTTGAAAAAGAGTATGGAAAACCTGGAAATAGCATGGAATTTGAACAAATTTCTGGAATTTTTTTTTTGTTAGTGAAAGATATTAAGAAAAATTCCATTCAACATGTTATTTTTTTTAAAAATGTTAACATACAATTTTCCTTTTCCATGTTATCTTCTCTTTAAATTAATTTAATTTTTCTTTTTAATTATTGACTAAAACTGTGAAAAATGTTGTTAAGATTGTTCTAAAAAAAGGAATTTATATCTTTATTAGTATTACGATTGTCAAAATTTTTTGATACTAGTTGTTTTTTGTTCAAGATTTTGAACAACGTTTAAAGATAAAAATTATTTAATTTAGAATTGACTTGAATGTTCTAATTATGACTGATTCTTCTGAATTTATGCAATAACTAAAATAATTTCATCTCCAAAGTCTTTTTAACATTTCTCCAATAGGAATTTTATAAGAAAACTAAATTTTTATGGTTTTTTTTCAAATTCTTAGAAATTTTTTAAAAATAGTGCCAGAAAATACAATGTTTTTTCTATCATTATGTGTATTTTAAAAATTTTTGGACCTCCGTTTTATATGTGATAAAAATGTTTAAATTTTGTCTTCAATTTAAGTTAAAATTACATCATGATGATTAATGATGTTTTTATACATTAAAAATATTCTAAAAAAAATTTTAATGCACATTAAAATAAAGTTAAAGATCTGATGTTTAATTTTTGTATATATATATTATTTATAAAAAGGAGGAATATTATTGCTTTTATAAATATTCAAATTTTACTTATCGGCCCTAGTAAAATTCAAAGAAGAAAGACTTTAATATTTTCAAATTAATTTTGCGCAACTTAAATTCTTACTCTTGAGTATGAAATAAAGTAGTTTCAATAGAAAAAACCATATAATTTAAAAAAAATAAATTAAAAAATCGAATATCAAAAGTAGCACTTTCAGAAAAATTACCCTTATATAGGTAAGTGAGTATTATTGTCTCACTTTGACATAAAAATGCCTGTGATTTTAACTGTTTAAGGGGGCATTAATTTATAACTACATAATAATGAATATTGTTAACACTGTTTTGTAAAATACTTGTTTTTTCATCACAAATAATTCCTAAATTTTAACCTGGAATTTTTAATATTTTTGACCTGGAAAACCTGGAAAAAGCCTGGAATTTTGAAATCTAGATTTTGTGGCAACCATGAATAATTAAATTTAAAAAGATTTTTAAATTGAAATCGTTGAAAATTTTTTGATAGATACTTTTTTACTATTTTTTTAGTCTTAAAGCTTTTTTTTGCTACTTTTTTAAAAATTAATTATCAAGTACGAAGCTTGCTGTTTGAAAATTGTTTTAAAAAAATTAATTTCATTCTGAAAAATAATTTTAATTATTCAATAATCCGAATAATTTTCTTAGTATTGAATTAATTTAATTAAACTTAATTAAATAAGTATTAAATAATTGTCTATAATAATTATTAATTTAATATTTGTTTATAGAATTTGGGACAAGATTGCAGTAGGAGCATATAAAATTTTAGTATTTGTTGCAATTGTAATTTTAACTACTCTGCGTCGATTTTTACTGAAATGCAGTAAACTCGACAATGTTCTCGATATTATTCAAAATGTAAGTCCTTTTTTCTTCATCTTCCTAATTTTTTTTTTTTTTTTTTTGAATAAAATTCATTTCAATTTTTTCCTTTCTTATAGATTACTGAAGAAACTTCAGAGCTTATAGTCAATAAAGCAATCGAATTATGGCAACAAAGTGGATCAAATGTTGTACAAAATACTTAGGTAATTTTATAATCGCAAATACTCACAAATTATGGCTGTATAAACATTATCTCTAATTTTTGAATTCTAAGCTTATTTATTAATATATTGCAAATAAATGATAATTTCAATAATTTTATTCTTTAATTTCAATCTAAATAAGTGACAAATTAATATTAAGTTCGGGTAAATTAAAAAAAAAAGAAAAGAAAAGATAAAAATAAACTAAAAAGGAATTAAAGGAAAAGAAATACTAAAACAGTTAAAAATAATCAATTTTATTAATTCATTCGTCATTATATTGTTAACTCTCAAGAGTTAAAAACCCTCGTCTAGATTTTACCGAACGATGTATCCTTCGTTTATATATATATATTTTTTTTCATATGGCGTTTACACATAATTCACTGCATACAAATATAAATTATTCGATAGTTTCAAAATAATGTTTCGTTCGATTTCGATTATCTCCGAATAAAATCTTTTAAATCGTTTATACATTCATCAAGAAACTTTTATTTGGAGAAATAAGTGTCGAACCTATGATATTGACAAAAGAAATTTACATCGCTGGCAAGTTTTTACTTTTTTTTTTTTATTAATTCTTTTTATTTTATAATATATGATTGCATCTCCAAGAAAACTAATGCCACTTGAAGTGTACTAACACTTTATATCTCTCTCTTTTTCTCGTCATTTTTCAAAATAATCACAATTTTTTTTCCACAAAAAAAACCACGAATTCAATTCTGTAATTAATTTTTTTTTCACAAACAATTACGAATTTCATTATGTAATTAATTTCGTCGAATTATTGTCAAAAATGAGAAAATGGGATGGAAAAAATATTTATATTAATTAAAAAACAAAATATTTTTTAATTGAATAAAAATTTGGCACAACATTAAAATTATATTTCAATAAGTGAAGAAATATATATATTTAAAGAAACAAAAAATAAAGGGAACTATTTTTTATTAGTGCATTATAAGAGAGATAAAAGTGTTTTCTAAGTCACAGTTATTTCGTATATTTTTTTATCAAAGGAAAAAATTTATCACGTTTTTAAATAAACGTAGTAGAATTTTTTCCAGTTTTTTTTCTCCTTTTCTTTGACTCTAGTCCAATTCGTTTTTCTTCGATAAGTGAAATATAATTAAATTGTTCTCAAAGAAAAACGACTTTAACGTTGAAACACAAATATTCTAATTGAAACAAAATTGTTGTCATTGTAACAAAATTATTTTCATTGAAATAAAATTATTGAATAAAAATTTTTCTAATTAAAAAAAAAGTGCATTATCAAAAAAAAAAGACAAGATTATATAATATATCTAAGAAAAATGCTTTCTAATTGAGAAAACGATTCACATAAAATTATATACAATTAAAGTGACTAAACATTAAACATCAGAATAAAAATACAAATTTTGTTTCAATATTCAGTGTGTATATGATAATTGACAGAAAATGAAAAAAACGTTACGTAGATAAATATACTGTGTATATATGTTAATATATACCTTAAAAATTAAAATTATGCTTATTGGAAAAAATTATTCGACTAGAGCCCCGTATATATTCGAAAATATGCAATATATTTTTTATTTACTTTTTTTTGAATTGCGCATTATTTTTGAGGAACTATGAAAAAATATTATACAGAATAGAAATCTGCTCGTATTTAAGAGATGATAATGTTGATTATGAACTATAAACATTCATTCGACAAAATACATATTAAGATAAAACTAACGTATATTTATAATACATTTTCTATTTTAGTTTCTCATTTTTTTTATTCTATCACTTTTCTGCATTCACAGTCACAGTCGATTTTAATTGCAAAATATAAAAAAGTATCATTTTTTTTTTGTTTTCCAAAAAAACAAGAAACAAAATTTTAAAGCAAAATTATTTTACGCCAAAGATATGATTTTTTTTTCTTGAAGTATTTCTATTTAATTCTTTTTATTGATTGAATATTTTTTAACAATAAATTGTAAACCCCCTTTTTTATTTTCTATTCTTAATTCTTCTATTTCTATTTTTTTTCTTTTTAAATATTTTCGAAGATGAATAATTGAAAACTTCGATTTGTTGTACAACATTATTCTATGTATAGAAAAGGATGCACAAAGCTGTGTTTAAGAATAATTGCTATTGGTTGTTTCATTGTTTTGAAAAAAAGGGCAAAAGAATTCTTGGAGTTAGTTGGAATCATTAGTAATGTTATTGAAGTTTAATCAAGGTTTATAACCGTCTATCGAGATCTATATTTTTTTTAAGTGACTGATCCATAATTATTAAATGAAATTTAATTCGTAGAATACTATTTAGATGATTGAATTATACTATCAATGGTAGACACTTACTATCAATGCTTATACTGAATTAAGTCTTTTTCACGAAGACATTTTCTTCAGATTTGATTTATTAGAGAGGCAGTTTTTTGTAGAATCGATGATTTAATTTAAAAATAAAATTTTACATTAGATATGATAATATTGTTTCCTTTTTTTGCTTTTTTTATTTAATGAATATTGTATATATATTTTTTATTTAAAATACCATTTGAAAGCACACGTCGTAAAATTTAAAGAAAAAAAAAATTATTTTTACAACGAAAAATTCAATCGTAATTCAAGTTAAAATTATTTCACATTTTTTGTAAATTTTTTTTCAATTTTAGTAAATAATGGTAAATATCTGAAAATATTTTGTTTTCTTAAAAAAATACGTATATTAAAAATATTAATAAATTTCGAAAAAATATTTATCAAATTTGTAAATTTTGATCCAAAAACAACTCTGGTGTAAATTTCTTTAAAATGAAATTTAATCTGTACATAAAAACAGGCTTCGTACTCGATAATTAATTTTAAACAATTTTTTAAGACTGAAAAAAGCAGCTATCGGGAAATTAAATTTGATAACTCAATTTTTTCTAAATTAAATAAGATTCAAAAATTATTTTAAATAATTTAAATGTAAAACCTTTTTGAAATTGAAATATTTCTAAAAATTACAATTGTAATTCTTCTTCATAAAATTCAATCATTTTTTTGTTGTTGAAATTTTTAAATAAAATTATTAAAAATTAAATTTGAATTCAAATTCAATTTTAAATCAATTCTGATTAGAAAGTTCTGCGAGAATTCAATTATTTAAATACAAAAAAAAATAATTAATTGAATAATAATTGGATATTTCTTAAAATTGAATTCTTGTAAAGAATTTTATTAACAAATTTTTAAATAATTCAATTCTTTTGCAGAATTTTAATAAAAATTTCAATATTAATTGTTTTTTGAATAATTCACCTAAAATTGTATTAAAAATAGAAATAAATGAAATTAATTAAATAATTGAATTCCTGTGAAAATTTTAATATTCTAATAGATGAAAAAAGAAATGTTTTTAAATAGAAATTCAATTGTTTCGAAGAAAATTTCAGTTCGAACGAGGAACTTAATTAAATTGTACTGGAAATAATTGAACTTTTCTGAAAATTTCATCACAATTTTTAAAAATGAATTTTATCAACAAATTTTGGTAAACTTTTTAAAAATAATTGAATTTCAACAGGAAATTTTATTCAAATTGTATTGAAAATAATTGAATTTTTCCGAAGAATTTTATAATATTTAAGAAAATAATTGAATCCTTGCGGCGGAATTTAATAAGATTTTCAAAAATAATTGAATTCCTGACAAGAATTTTATTATTTATAAAAATAATTTTAAATTTAAATAATAAATAACAAATAATTGATTTTTTGTCGAAAAATTTTAAGAAAATTGTCTTTTAAATAATTGAATTCCTGTGAAAATTTTATTATTCATGCAAATTATTGAATATTCGCAAAGAATTTTATAAAAAATGTTTTTACATAATTGAATTCTTATGAGAAATTTTTTATTAAAATAATAGATATTGAAAATAATTGAATTTCGAAAAATTTTTTGAAAATAATTGAAGTGTTTCAAGAATTTTATTAAAATTTTTCGAGTTCTTTCTAAGAATTAGTAGACGAGTACGAAACCTGTAAAAATTGAATTAAAATAAAATGTTAATTAAATTCAATCTAAATTCAAATAAAATTTTAAATTGAAATTTAATTAAAATAGAATTTTAAATTCAATGTTAATTAAAATAAATGAATTAATAAATTAAATAAAGAATTGATTTTGAAATTAAATTCAATTGATTTTAAAATTAAATTCAAAATTAATTACAAATGGATCAGTCACGAGAGTCTAAAATTTCGATGCGAAATCCAGCTCGAACATAATCTAAATATGTAAATAAGCGTTCGGAGCTTTGAATGAAAAATTTCTTTTCACGCATCGAAAAAAAAGAGCTATCTAATTAGATTCTTGTTATAATCCCACGATAAATCTTCAATTATTATTATTATTCATTCTTTGGCTTTGTTTAAAGAGACCATTATTAAAATCTCCTTTTTTTTTTAGTGATTTTTCATTGTTTTTTTTTTTATTTCAAACTTTCTTTTAGGCTTATCTACTCGATTCGTATAATATATAATATATTCGAGTTTTATTTGTCGAGGAGATAAGCCCTGATTTTTGCTAAAATTATTATCATTTATAATTACAATTACCACGCGTCGCAGCACATGTCGCCAAAAGTTTTTAATGCACTAGACCGACTAGCCTTTCGGTAATAGTGCTATTTTAAAATGAAAATTTAAAAGTAATTTATTTTTTTGTAATTCAAATTCTTAATATATATATATTTATATATATACAGGTGAAAAAACAGTAACGAATTATGTAAATAACGGTAACATAAAACGTAACAGTCCTTCATAAAGTTTCATTTTCTTTTTTTAAAACATGTAAAATGTATACAAAGAAATTGTGAAGGAAGATATGATTCGAATTAAAAAAAAACAGTGATTTAATGTGCCGAATAAAAATACTTATTGTAACTTTTTATTTGCATTGCCGTTTTGTGCTTTCGGCATGCCGGTTCTTCAATAGGCGAGACTCAGCAGTGTTTTTTTTTCTCAATTCACTCTCTCTTAAACACGATTTACTGTATCTTTAAAACACGATTTTATTTTGTGACGATTGACAAGATTCCGCTTCTAAATAATTTGTCTATCACTGTTGTCAGATTGGCGGAAAAATTTTCTTTTCCAAAAATTATGTACTTTACCAACACGATTTTATTCGGATCGTCTATTTTTCCTCTTCGTTATCAATTTTTTTTTTTTGTCTAGTTTTGCACTTCAGTTCGAATTCTACTTTTTTCTCACTTCTAATTTGTATTTCTTTTTCATTAAATAGATCCTTTTTTTCGATATAATTCAGAAAGAAAATGTTACAATTTGAAAATATGTATTTCTCTTTAGTTTTTAAATTTTCTGCTTGAATCTGACAGCATTTTTGCTTATGGATCACACACTTTTCAGAGATACTGCTGCTACACTGCTAATTTCTTTTTTTTTTCTTGTTTTTGTTTTTTTTTGTTTTGCTATTCACAACCTATCTTCAAAAAAGAGTTTCTAGAACCAATACTTTAAGCGGATTATATTACAAGTTTGAAACAATGCTTACGGTATCTTGCACAAAGTGATCGTATCTAATTTCTGTCGAGATGCACAGTCTACTTTGCCGCAGGAAGATAGCGTTTCATTTTCCTCTCATACAGCAGGATGCATGCTTTCCTTGTGTCTTGCAACAAGTCTGCTATTCACGATTGGTTAAAGCGCAGCTGCATTCGAATTATCGACTAGAGGTGAAAGAGGCCCGAGTTTGCCTCTACCACTATTTAACCTATCCGTCTCGTACTGAATATCTAGCGAGAGGCCTGAAAAAAAAATTACACCATTTATTAACTAAGTCAACAAATTTAACAAAAAAAAAAAGAAAAAAAAGTCAAATAAGAGAAAATAAAAGATTATTTTTCCATAAAAATAAATGTTACATTTTTAAATTTCTTTTTATGAAAAAAAAGAGATAAGAATGTAATGAAATTGATAAGAGGGAAATGTGACGAAATGAAAACTAAAAAGATAAAAAGAACCCACCACCAGTCATATAATTTTTCATATTGAATAGTGGTAAGCTGTAACGTACATTTTTCATATGCGTATTTACCGGAAGGCCTCCGGGAGGTAGAAGAGTGATGAATTTGCCCCGTTAACATTGAATTCGATTCAGGTATAAACGTAGCCACAAGAAGAGCGCAAATCACTAAGAATGCACCGAAAACAAATGGAGGCCCTGGCACTAACTGTAAAACAAAAATTATTAGTAATTTTCTTTGATATTTTCAGGCTTCGTGCTAATTAATTAATTAAAACTTCAATCCTTTTTTTTTAATAAATAATTATGTAAATAGTTATTGCTATTTATTTTTCCAGATGGATTTCAATAAAATTAAATAATCAAATTTTTAATTACAATTATTAACAAACATGATTAATTTAAAAACATAAAAGAAATTCTTCGCAAAATTCAATTACTTTCAAAATTTCCGATTAAATGAAATTAATTATTATATTAAAGAAACTCCATTATTTAAAATAAATTGAAAGAAATTCTTCTAAAGAACTTAATTATTTAGGAAAACTAACAAAATTATTAAACAGAATTCAATTTTTTGTTATTAATTTTAATTAAATTTAATAATAAGATTACTATAATTAGAATTATTATCGAAATTGATTAAAAAAAAAAATTAAAGCAAATGCATTAAAAAAATTCAATTATTGTAAAAAAAAACTTTAATATTGCATTCTTCGAAAGAATTTAATTATTTTCAATATTTTTAATAAAATTCCCTGAATGAATTTAATTATTTACAAAAAATTAAAAATAAAATTCTTAGTATAATTCAATTACAATCAAAATTTTCAATTACAATTATGAAAAAAAAAATTCTAGGAAATTATTCGAAACAGTTCAATTATTTTCAAATATTTCAATAAAATTCTTCGGAAGAATTCAATTATTTTCGTAAAAAAAATTCTTCTTAGGAATTTAATTATATTCAATATACGATTTTGAAAAAAATTGAATTATTTTTAAAAGTTTTAATAAAATTCTTCAAAACAATTTATTTACATTCAAAAATGTTTATAAAATTCTTCGCAAGAATTTAATGATTTTTATACGTATTATACTTTTAAAATTCAAAACATTTAAAAGAAAATTTATTATAAAAGTTAAGAAACAAAAAATTATTAAATTCTATCAAGAAATTTAATTAAAATCTTATTGAAAATTTATATTAATTATCGTTATATTCCGGTAATCTGTTCGCAGTTTGCAGTTAGTTGTTGTTTGCTTTTTTGTATCCTAATTTTTAAAATAATTTTTCTTTTTAATATTTTCAATTTTAAAATTAATGTACTGAAAATTATTGAATTCTTGCAAAGTATATTTATCAAAAAATTTGAAATTAATTAAAATCATTTTAAGAATTTTATCAATATTTTTTTCAATAATTGAATTCTTTCGAGAAAAAGTAATTAAAATTGTATTGAAAATAATTTAATACTTAACAAGATTTTTATTAAAATTCTTTAAAATAATTGAATTGTTTTGAAGAATTTATTTCAATATTCTTGAAAATAATGGAGTTTTTTAAAATAATTTTTACTGAAAATCTTGAAAGTAATTGAATTTTATGAAGAATTTCTTTCAAGTTTTTAAAATAATAGTGTTTATTATTAATTGCAATTAATTATTTCTCTATTAAATTATATTAAAATTATTCATAGAAAATTAAATTTTTTTAAACAATTTTACTAGAGTTTTTATAAATAATTAAATTTTTTTAAGAATTTGATTAAATTTCATAAAAATAATATAATTTTTGAAAATAATTTTAATTGAAAATATTGAAAATAATTAAAATTTACAAAGAGTTTTATTAAAAACTTTTGAGAACAATTGAATTGTTTAGAAAAATTTTATCACAATTTTTAAAAATAATTGAACTTGTTAATTAGAATTGTTTCGAAGAATTTTATATTAGAATTTTTTAAAATAATTGAATTTTTATTACAACTCTTGAAAATAATTGAATTTAAATAATATTTTTAAAAATAATTGTATTTTTTCGAAAAATTTTATCAAAATTGTATTGAAAATAATTGAATTCCTCCAAAACATTTTATTATTTATGAAAGTAATTGAATTCCTTTGAAGAATTGTATTATTTTTAAAAATATTTTAACTCTCGCGAAGAATTTTCTTATTTATGAAAAGAATTGAATTCTTGCGAAGAAATTTTGAAATTCATAAAAATAATTAAATTGTTTCGAAGAACTTTATTTGAATTTTTGAAAATCATTGAATTTTTTGAAGTAATTTTATTAAAAATTTTGAAAATAATGATTATTTTAAAAGAATTTCATCAAAATTGTTGAAAAATACTACTTAGTTGCATTCTTCTAAAGTGCTTATCACAATTTTTGAAAACAATTGAATTCTTTCAAGGAATTTTATAAAAAATTATAAAAATAATTGAATTTCATTAAGAAATTTAATTGAATTTGTATTGAAAATAATTCAATTATTTCGAAGAATTTCTTTAAAAAAATTTTATGGGAATTCAATTATTTAAATACAAAAATAAACAATTGATAAAGTAATTATATAATTATTTCATTTTTCTTAAGCTGAGAAACAAAATTCAAAGACAATTTAATTTTTTTGATTCTTTGATATTTTTCTACAACTTTGTGTAAAATTTCCTTACTTCTCGTATTTTCCTGTCCTGTGAGAACCCTGTCATTGTCAAAATAGTGCAAACTCTCAAAAAAAAGGAAAAGAAAGAACAAAATTTAAAAATAGAAAAAAATACCTGAGGTACGATATCTTGATGTTGAGTGGCAGTTCCCGTTCTATTGTTTTCATCGAGAATTGGCGGCTTAAGAGGTAAAGATGGTGTGTCGTAGTTGAGATCGACATGAAATAGATAGAAAATGATGCCAAACATGGCAGGCCCCAAACCATTGCAAAGTCCACGCATTCCAGTCACCATGCCCTGTACCAAGCCCTGTTTGTCGGCATCGGAATGCATTGAAACAAATGCAGATATTGCCGGATACGTTATACTCGAAATCGAAGCAAGCACTCCTGCGGCCCACATCATCCTTTAAGAAAAACAAAAACACTTATAAACTCAGTCCTAGAAATTTCCTTTTATTCTTCTGTCCTTCTATCCTTCTATACTTCTATTTAAATATAAAGAAATAGAATTTGAATATTTAAAATAAAAATCCAAATTTTCACTATAGTAAGTTAATTTTTTCGTTATCTACATCAGTCGATAGCAAATTAAATTTTTTCTCTCTTCAAAGAAAAGAAAGTTCTTTCTTGAATGAAAGAAAATTCAAATTAACGAAGGAGAAAAATCAAACTTGTTTTGTAAAAATTAAAAAACCCACTTTCAAATTTAATTTTAATTTCATATTTAATTTAATTTTTTAATTAATTTAGTTTTGGATTTTTTTTTTAGAAATACATTTAGATTTACGTACTTTGAGAATGTTTTTTTTCTCACTAGCTTTTAAGTTTCTTTTTTGTTTTTTTTTTTTGAAGGTATTAATGAAGGTTTTAACTTACCATGTCTGTGAGCCAAAACCGTACCACATTAATTGCAACATTTCAAATAAAAGTCCGAGCATAATTGCGTGTTTACTACCCAATGTTCTCATTAACGGACCCAATAACATTTGAGCACAGACACTTAATATTCCTACCACGGCGATAAATACTGACACCATCGATGTAGAAAATCCCATTGCTAATTTTAGATAAACAAATATGCAACTATATTGACCGGCCTCTGGAAGATAGCTCAGGAACACTGTGACGCACAGCATCAGAATTGTGTGATCTTTTCCCACCTGTCGAGTATAGAATTTAAAACATTAAAATACAAACACACAAAAATAGAAATTAAAATACTTAAAAATTCAGTTCCTTTGAAATTTAAGCAATTGAGAATTAAGTTCCTTGTAGAAATTAAAATACTTGAAAATTAAGCTCCTTAAAAATTAAAATACTTAAAAATTAAGTTCCCTAGAAATTATAATGATTAAAAATTAAATTCCTTAGATATTAAAATACTTGAAAATTAAGTTCCTTGGAAATTAAAATACTTGAAAATTAAGTTCCTTGGAAATTAAAATACTTGAAAATTAAGTGCCTTAGAAATTAAAATACTTGAAGGGGTTGCCACAAAAATTGAATTTTGTTTTTCCCTGATTTCCAGACAAAATTTTGACTCTTGTCCTGATCCTAAAGAATATTCTGATTCACTCTAAAAATTATTAGATCCTAAAAAAATGTTCTATTACTATTTACGAATTTCCTTAATATTGTAAAATTATTCAAAAACACTAATAACTTCATTTTTAAATAAATATTTAATCATTATTATTTTTCCATAGGAATTATGATTTTCAAAAATTTCAAATTCAATAACTAATAATAATATTATTGTAAAACATGAAGATATCGATCATTCCGAGTCGAAGACTTGGAGTAATCCATTTTTCGTGTTTTATAATAATTAAAGATGAAAAGTAATTCCTTTTAAAATAATTTTCATCATTTCAATTTAATTATTATTTTCTACAATTTTTAACTAAAATTTACATAATTAAAAATTATTTCTAAAAATTGCAATTATTAGAAAATTCCCCAAAATTCAATTATTATCAAAAATTTTAACTGAAATTAATTTTTAAAACAATTTTTATTAGAAAATTCTACAAGAATTCAATTATTTGAAAACGAACATAGATAATTTATTGAATAATTGAATGTTTCTTCAAATTGAATTCTTATACATAATTTAATCAACAAATTTGTATTGAATTTTTTCGACAATTCCGCAATGAGTTTTATTACTTATGAAAATAATTGAATTATTGCAAAGAATTTTATAAAACAGTTTACTAAAAAATTTATTCAAATTCTATTTTCAATAATTAAATTCCTGTGAAATTTCTATTATTTTAGAAAATAATTGAATATTCGTGTAGAATTTTGTCAAAATTGATTGTAAATAATTGAATTCTTTTGGGAAATTTTATTAAAATAATAGATATACAAATTATTGAATTAAGAAAAATTTTTAAAAATAGTTGAAAATTTGTAATGAAAATTTTATTAAAATATTTGAAAATAATTGAATTTTTATTACTTTTAAAAATAATTGAATTCTTGTGATGAATATTATTATTTATGAAAATAATTAATTTTCTCCGAATGATTTTATTATTTATAAAAATAATTAAATCCTTTAAAGGAATTTTAAAATTTATGAAAATAATTGAATTACTGAGAAAAATTTAATGTCAAATTTAAAAATATTTTATTTTTTGAAAAAATGTATGCAGATTCTATTTTAAATAATTGAATTCCTGTGGAATTTTTATTTTTTTTTTTAAATAATTGAATTCTTGTGATGAATACTATTATTTACTAATATAATTGAATTTTGCAATGAATGTTATTAAAATTCCTGTATATAATTTAATTTCGGCGAAAGAATTTTGCTATGTATTTGTAAAGATAATTGAAATGTTGTCGAGAATTTTTTTTTTAATTTTTGAAAATAATTGAATTTCTGAAAAAAAATTTGATATTTATTAAGATAGTTGAATTCTTTCAAAGAATTGCGTTAAAAATTTTAAAATTGAAACTAATTTCAACAGAATTGAAATTAAAGTTTTTCAAAAAATACTTCATTAAATGATTTAGAAGTAATAAAAAGACACAAAAATTCAGAATTTTCTTATAAATTCTAAACATTTAATTTTTTCCAGTATTCTTTAATAAAAATCTCTGACTTTTCCCTGATTTTCCTGACCTGTGGCAACCCTGTTAAAAATTAAGTTCCTTAAAAATTAAAATACTTGAAAATTAAGCTCTTCAGAAATTGAAATGCTTAGGAATAAAATTCATAAGACATTGAAGTGCTCAAAAATAAAATTCCCTCGAAATTGAATAACATAGAAAATGAAATAAATTAGAAATTTAGTCACTTAATTAACAGTGTAAAATTGAGAATGAAGCATGTAAATTTAATTGTAAATGAATTGTTTTCAAGAACAGTCGTACCTTTCCGAGAGCAGCGAAAGGATCTGCTTGTTCCCATGAAATAGGACCAGTAGGACGCGCCTTTTCTGGTAAACTTTCTGGTACAGCGACGAGAATGAAAAATACATCGAGAATAGCGATAGCAGTGGCGAGGGCAACAGCTACATTATCGCCATAATTTTGTCTCGTGTAATCACCCAATGCGGGACTTATTACCATGCTCGCTGCAAAAGTTGCCGACACCTGCAACCAAACAAACAAATTCAGTTTTTCACATTTTTAGTATTTAAAAGTAAAAAAATACTAAAAAGAAAGAAACTTAAAAAACTACTTTAAGAAATTAATTTAAACTAAATAGCTAAATTTAAAAAATTAGAAAACTAGAAGAATTAAGGAAAAAAAGAGAAATAAGAAAATTGAAAGACTAGATGACTAGAAATTAAGAAAATAGAAAATTCAAGTAAAAAACTAAGAATCAAGAAAATTAAAACAAAAATTGAAAAGGGAATGATAAAAATAAATATTTTTGAAAAATACTAAAATTTAGTGTAAAAACTAAATAGTAGAATAATTAATACATAAATTAAAGTAAATAAAATATTAAAGTAATAAATATTAACGTAAGTAAAATTTAAAAATAAATAAATATTACAAAAATAAAAAAAAGTACAGAAAGTAATAATAGAAATGAAAAAATCGTACCAAACCGTATGCTAATGATCGTTGACTCTCTTCGGTGACATCGGCAACATAAGCAAATACTACTGAAAATGTACATGCGAATACGCCGCTTATTGAAATCATGGCAAAGAACCACCAAGTGTTAATGCTCATTAATGGTAGTGGTGCACACGTGAAGGCCACTGTAATTAGTAAAAAGAATTTACGACCCCATACGTCCGATAGTGCGCCAATTAATGGGGCCGATAAAAATGACAAAATTCCTTTAATCCCCATTATGAGACCGTTCATTAAGAATGTATGATCTGGGAATGTCTCGTTTAACACTGTTATTATTGGCATTGTTAATAAACCCCAAGCAAAAAATTCCAGGAATATCACCACCAAGGCATGATATACACTCGCCTCTCCAACTCCCGAACTCTACAACAAAAAATAAAATTTTCTTTTAGTGCATATTCACAAATCATAAAAAAAACATCAACCACGTTCAAAGCCGATAAATAAAGAAACAAAATGTTAAAAGTAATAATAATTAAATTATAATAATCATAATAATATAACAATATTACTATAAATTTTCGTTTAATTGGTTGAATTTGATTACTTATTTAATTATTTTAAAAAAAAGTAGCTTTAAGACTGAAAAAAGTAGCTATCGAAAAATTAAATTTGACGACTCAATTTTTTCATAATTTCTAAATTAAATTACATTCAAAAATAGAATAATTTTCTTTTAAATAAATGTTTAAATTATTTATTTATTTATTTTCCCACAGGAATTAAAATATTTAAAATGATTTCAATGTAAAGCCTTTTTTAAATTGATCTATTTCTATAATTTCTTCAAAACTTTAATTATTTTATTTAAAAATATAAATATTATTTCAGTTTTACGACAATTAAAATTTTTATAGATTTCAATTTAAAAATCTATTGAAATTTAATTATTTCGAAAAATTCACACTATAACGCTTGTAAAATTCAATTATTATCTGAAATTCAATTTTAAATAAAGTTTTATTAGTAAGTTTTACGAGAATTCAATTATTTAAATACAAAAAAAATTATTTATTGAATAATTGAATATTTCTTCAAATTGAATTCTTATACAGAACTTTATCAAATTTTTTAAAAATAATTGAATTCTTTCAAACAATTTTAATAAAATTTTCAAGATAATTGCATTTTTCGAAGAATTAATCCAAATTGTATTAAAAATAGGAATTGAAATTAAATTGAATTAATTAAATAATTAAATTCCTGTAAAAGTTTTATTAATTTGTGAAAATAATTGGATTTCTCAGAAGAATTTTATTAAAATTTACAAAAATAATTGAATTTTCTCGAAAGATTTTATTAAAATTGTACTAAAAATAATTGAATTCTTCTAAAGGATTTTATCAAAATTTTTGAAAATAATTGAATTCTTTCAAGGAAATTAATTACAATTTTAAAAAATAATTGAATTGCATTACCTACGAAAATTTATTAAAATCCTATTTAAAAAAATAATTGAATTACATTACCTACGAAAATTTATTAAAATCCTATTTAAAATGATTGAATTTATCCGAAGAATTTTAATATTAATGAAGTATTTAAATTGTTGCCAAGAATTTTAATTAAAAATGTATTGAATTGAATTCTCATAAAAAAATTTTATCATAACTTTTGATGATTCATTCTTTTAAGAATTTTAATAAAATTTTCAAGAATAATTGCATTTTTCGAAGAATTCATATAAAATTGTATTAAAAATAGGAATTGAAATTAAATTAAATTAATTAAATAATTCAATTCCTGTAAAGATTCTATTACTTATGAAAATAATTGATAAAAATAATTAAAAAAATAAAATTTGTAAAAATACAAATTCAATTGTATCAAAGAAAATTTAAATTCTATAACAAGAAATTAAAATTTTACTGAAAATAATTGAATTCTCCTAAAGTGTTTACCACAATTTAAAAAAAAGTGATTTCTATAAACAAAAGTTGTTAAACTTTTTTAAAATAATTAAATTCCGTAAAGAAATTTTATTCAAATTTTATTGAAAATAATTGAATTTTTCCAAAGAATTTTATTAGTTAATTAAATAATAAAAAATAAATATTTGATTTTTTGTAGAAAAATTTTATTATTCATGAAAGTAATTGATTGTTTGCAAAGGAATTTATAAAAACGTTTTTAAATAATTGAATTCTTTTGGGAAATTTTTTATAAAAATAATAGATATTGAAAATAAATGAATTTCGAAAAATTTTTCAAAATAATTGAAGTGTTTGAATATTTTTATTACAATTTTTTTTGTAAATAATTGAATTTGTTTGTATAATTTTATTGAAATAGTTCATATTGAAAATAATAGATTTTTAACAAATTTTGGAAATTAATTAAATTTTTACGAAGAATTTTATTTAAATTTTTTGAAAAGAATTGAATTTTTATGAAAAATTTCATTAAAATTTTTGAAAATAATTAAATTCTTTCAAGAAATTTAATTAAAAATGTATTGAAAATAATTATCAAATTCAAATAAACAAAATTATATCCTAATTTTTTTAAAATAATTGAATTCTTTCGAACAATTTTAATAAAAATTTGAAGAATAATTACATTCTTCGAAGAATTCATTTATAATTATATGGAAAATAATTGAAATCCTGCAATGAGTTTTATTAGTAATGAAAATAATTGAATTTTTGTAACGAATTTTTATTAAAATTTTAAAAAATAATTGAATTACTGATAAGAATTTTATTATTTATTAAGAATATTGAATTCTTCCGCAGGTCTGTATTAAAATTTTTTTTAAATAATTGAATTCTGGCAAAGATTTATATAAAAATCTTGTTAATTAATTCGTTAAAAAATTAAAATTCTCTCTAAAGGACAAAATATGGATTCTCAAAAATCTCTTTTTTGCTTCTTTCGATCACAGAGAAATTAAAATTTCAAAACAAACCTTTTTCAAATTCTGGAATTCATTTTTGGTAAAAAAAAATTGTTTTCGCCAAAATTAGTATTATTTTTTTGTTTCTAATCTTGTGATGAAATAAAATTAATAGTGTGAGGAAAAGTTTTTGAGAATTAATGAATTAGAATTGGCAGGATTGCAAAAACAGTGGCGGAGAGCTGACCTTGAGGTGCTGGTAACATCGTTGATATAATGTTCGTGTTGCACTAAGTTCAACAGTAACATTTTCCTGATTATTATGCAATTCGGAACAAGAGGGGCCCAAGCCCTCTGCTTCCCCCTGTGCCCCAGGGGGCATGACCCCTAAACGGCACTTTTACTTAAACCTTTCCATTTTGTAAAAATTCTGGTCACATGTTGAATTCATTGATTAATCATAACTGTTACTTTTTTTTTATAAGAATAAATATGTCTCTTGAAACAGGGAAGCGAATAATCTATTGTTTCTTTTTTATGTATTTCCTTTTTTATTTCATTTCTTTTCTTCTTTATTTTCTATTTTCTTATTTTCTTTACTTTCTCTTCCTTATTTAATTTCTTGTCTTCTTAATTTTTTCTTCCTTATTTAATTTCCTTTCTTCTTTATTTTCTCTTTCTTATTAATTTCTATTCTTTATTTTCTCCTTCTTATTTAATTTCTTTTTCTTCTTTATTTTCTCTTTATTTATTTTCTTTTTCTTACTTATTTTCGTTTTTTAAAAATTTTTTTTCGTACTTATTTTCTTTGAGTTACAATAACTTTTCTCTTCAATTTTCCCTACTATCAACATTCGTTTTAAAATATATCAACTTCATTATAGATTTTCATATAATAAATTTTCTTCTTGTGCAAAAAATAAGTGCGCGATCTTGTTAAAAACTATAATAAAAATAATTTTCCATCAACAATTAACATCTTTTCTTTGTGCATATTCGTTACAAAAATCTTGTGCTGTCAATTCAATAGGAATGTTTTTTCTCTTTATATATTGTATATATATTCTTTAAATCACAGAAAATTACACTTCGATGGCACTTCACTCTCGAATAAAATATTGTTTTTCTTTCTCTTCTCTATATTCTTTTCAATAAATATTAATACTTCTTTTATTTAAATATTCGATTGTCACTTAATTTCTCGAAAATTCAGCGACTATTTTATTAATCAACTAGTCCAAGAGCACTGACGATATTTAGAAGCGTTCTTGACACTATCCACACGGTTTAAATGTGGAATTAGAAAATGATATTTTTAGTCAAAGCACTAGAGGCTGCTGAAAAATTTCATTAGAATCAATAATTGATTTTTTCGCTCATAAAATAAATACTCTTCAAAACAGATGACATAGTTGTTTCGAGTACTTTTTTTATCATAAAAGCAAAAAAAAAGAATGAAATCAAAGATGTCCGAAAGGGGATGAAAATATTGCAAGAATAAAAGTGTTTGAAAGGTTGAAAACACGAAAATGTTTAAGAAATATTTCCCTCTTTTTCCATTTGGAGCATTTATTTCTTGTCTATTATCCAATTTAATTTAATTGCGAGTTATTTCTTTTTAATGAAAATCGAATTTAGCACCATGACAATGAGAGGGGTCGATTTTCATGCGACTTTTTGTTTGCACTTATAGATTGTCATAAAATTTGTGTCACTACTATTGGTAAATATAGTAAAATTTGTTCCTTGGCTATCACACTTTTGTCACAAAAAATCAAACAATGTTGCAATTAAAAAAGGGGGAAAAAAACTGGAAATAATTCACAATTTTTTCGGGAGCCACCAATTGGAAAGTTTACGCAAGTGCACAAACCTCTGCATTGGCACCCCTCCCACCCCAGAAAGTAGACTGTCAGCCTGCTCGGCTGACTGGCGTGTGTATCGCCTTCTCTGTAAATCCATAACCAGTTTGCAGTAACTTTCAATAATAAAAGGGGATGATTTCCCTTTTTTTTTGTTCATTAGAGGAATTTTTCCCTCTTTTTTTTGGTGAAATTTGAGTATTTTTCTCATTTTGATTAATAGAAATTTCTCTCTATTTTAGATTGGACTTCCTTTCGAGAATCAGCTGTTCCAAAGATTGACATAGAAAAATTTCACACACAGCATTCGTTATCTTATCGATCCACAATTGGTAACGTTAATTTAATTAACGCTTGTATATTTTCCGATTATTAATTAATAAAGTTCCAATATTTGATGATTATGATGATAATGATGATGATGAAAATTTTCAATGATCATTATTGCCTCCAAACTGTCATTATTATCCTTCTCAAAAATTCCTTTCATCTTGAACTTCTTTCCCACCTCTCTCTCACTCTCCTCTCATCTCTCTCCTCGCAAAATGTCGAAAACAAAAACAAAGGATTAAATTTTTACAATTTTTTCCCAACAGTAAAAAATTATTAAAATCAGAAAAAGGGGTAGAAAATAATTTCTCTTTGAGGAAAATTAAAAAAAAAAGTCTTGCATTCTGCACATTTTAACAATGCGATCATTATTATTTGACATAAAATATCCATATTTTGTCCATCAAACTTTTTTTCCCTGTAATTCATATTTTGTCAGTAAACAAAGAAAGTAAAATTCCAAATACCAAATAGTTATTGAAATTTTATAAAATACGGTTCGTTTATCTTATGTGACTTATGCGATAAGAATTTATCACCTAAAGTAAGCTCATTACAATTGGAGTACATAATGAGAAGGCTGTTTGCTATTGACTGATTGACATTTGTTACTCACAAAAATTATTTTACCATAAAGTACACATTAATACTTTAATTTCATAAAAATTCAATTTTCCAGAAGAAAAAAAATTATTAAAAAATTAATTTTTAAATGTATGCTTTTGTGAAATAGAAAAATGACGAAAGAAATAACCATAAGACATTCATCTCGTTTAGAATTTTTGTCCTTGGTTTAATTTACGATTTCCCAATTCGATAGTTTAGAAAACGTAATTTATTAATATTATTCAATCTCTTTTTTTGAAAAGAAATGAACTGAATTCATGAACAATATAATTGGAAAACATTTATATTAAATTAATATAAAAGATTCACGTTTGGAAAATAATATGCAAAGTAATTTAAATTATTCACACTGACGTGTAATCTTGAAAATACAATATTGTCCAATTAAAAACTGTACATGATAATAAAAAAAAATACGTTTTGAACATATAATTTATAAATAAAATTACTTATTTAAAAAAAAAAGTTCAAACGAAATTAATTTGTAAAATATTCTAAATAGACAAGAAATGCTCATTTTTTGGTATATTTAGGTGTTATCATTTCTAAGCACTCAATCCAGTTTTGTTTTTAAAAATAAAATTTTCCGTATATTATAAGTAGAAAAACGAAAAAAAGAATCAACAGAGCATCGAATATTATATCCAGAAGCTAACCTTCAGAAAACTGGAGTTGAAAATTCGAGCATTTGACAAAAGAAGAAAATGAAAAATGGAAAAAACTTTAAACATATTGGGGAATTGTTGATAAAAATAAATAGATTGAAAAAAAGGGAAATTCGATGGAAATTAAAAGGGAAAAATAAAGCAGTACCGTGATGACCCCATCCTTCATTGTCTTTCGGCTTCGGATAATCATGCCGACTACTTTTTTGGAGACCTTGGCGGGCATACTCACGCACTGCGCGCACAAGCTCTTTCGCTTTTTTAATTTCATTAATCACTAACAAATTAACAGTACAATATAAGTCATTTTCCCGCGAATCTTTCTATATGACACACACCATATACAGCTTCCAGCACTTGCAAAAGCTCTCTTTATAATCACCGAAAGCTTTAAAGGTGAGACAAACAAACTCACCTTTCATTAATTACACTGAATTACAGAAAAACGCCACGTGGAGGCGCACGTGTCGGAATTTTGTTACGAGCGACTACCATCTCGCTCGTTAACTTTCGATATATCGATTTACGAGTTATCGAAGCGCGAAATTATAACATTTCGTTAATAAACTCAATTATTTTAGTATTTTCTCACGACTTTAGACAAATATTGACGAGACTAAACAAGAAAGTTTGACTATTGTAAAATATAATACTTCACGGTTTAATAGTTCCCAAATTCCGAATATGTATCTGAAAATCAACATTTCTTAGAATTGTCATAAATCAAGTAGAATAGCGAAAGAAAATGTAATCTCTAGTTTCTTTAGTGTCATAAAACCGAGAAACCCTCGAAAAGAATATAAAAAATATCTCAAGTGTCCTTTTCTATAGGACAATGCAACATGTGTTTACCATACTTGTGACCACAGAAATGGCTTCGAAAAGTCACGTACACATAGACTTTCATTATGCGACGAAACTTAATTATCAATTGTATAATATGAACGTTATGAACAATTAACAACAATATTATATTGTTGCTAATAGTGCAGCATGAATGTATTATTTGAAAATGATATTATTAGTAAACTTTATCTGATTGATTGTTGTAATATTATGGTATAGGATATGTACATATGTATGTGTATGTATGTATGTGTGTATATGTATGTATATATATATATATATATATATGTATATATATGTATGTATATGTGTATGTATGTGTATATATATGTGTATATATGTTTGTAACGTATTGATATAATAATAATATTATATTATGATACATTATCAAATTGGTTATCGTTATAATTGTTGTTTATATTTAAATATGATGAGTGCAGTATAAGAGATTTATTGTTACTAGATATGATGTAAATAATTAATAATTGTGTAATTAGTGTGAATGCAAAAGGGTTATGTTCACTTGTTGTGATACATGTTTTCAATACATAGAGTATGTTTATACGTGTATTAGTGCAGTGCAGTGTTAGTGTTGTGATTCTAAAAACTTCATAGACTTTACAAACTCTATAACAGGGCATGCGCAAAGATTCTGCCATGGACCAAGGGATAAATGCTCCCTCACGAATTCAGTTCTATTTTGGAGTTCTTTCGTAACGGACTTCAGAGTAGTCCCAAAAATAGCCTTAAGAATAACTTCGACTTGTGTAATGTTTGACTTTAATATATAATAAATGTATTGGGTTTACTCGTGAAATGAGTCGGATTAATAATTAATTGATATTAATATTAATTATTAATTGATCTTTCTTATTTTCGAGGTTTTTCCCTCCGTTTTAACGGAAATTAACTTGTTTTATTTTGAATATTTCCGCCTTCCTTTTCAAAGGATTAAACCAAGATTGAACATCGAATCAAATCGCGGATTTTACGCCTGCGCGTAAATAAAATAAATCCGCACGTAACAAATTGGGGGCTCAACGTCGGGATCTTGGTGCGGAAAAATTTAAATTTTTGCAAATTTTGTGACTTTTATTCGAAATTTTATGTGAATTTGAACTTTAAAGAACAATAGTGAAAATAACAAATATTACGGGTTGTAAATCTAACAGTGTTAAAATTTTAAGGAATTTCA